TAAAATGACATCAATGGGGATAAGGCCTAAATGATATTAAAGACCACTTAATTATACAATGATACACCGAGTTTAATCAAAATCGTTTGAGCCATTTTTGAGAAAATTGTAAAAATGTGTTTCAGTGTTGATATAAAGTGGCACTTCTGGTTAGCCCATTTTAAGGAAAAAGTTGCCAGGACATTTAAGGTATATATCTATCTTAAATGTGTAATATCAGTTTCGTACGACTTTTCGTTTTTGAGCTAGTGATCAAACACACACAGACCACTTTTTTCGGACTTGGTTATTTATACTCAGGGGACCTCTAAACGTTTATTTATGTTGAAAACTCAGATTCAAAAATTTTCACGATCGCAGTACTATATATTACTATGTATTATATATATATCGGTAAGTGAAAGTAAAAAAAGTTTTTGTATGTTTATATATCTATATATATTATGTTATCATAGATACATTTTTTGTATATATTTTGATTATATATTATTTTTAAAAAGTTAAATAAATAAGTAAACTCTTACATATGTAAGGAGGACGTGGTGGTTGAGCATCTTAAGGTTAGAAGGGTCCTAGATGTCCGCTTCTATATGCTATGGGTTCAATTCCCTCCTGGGTCAGTTAATATTTATTTCTCGGAGACCCTGAGAAAAGAAACTCGATAAGTTAAAACTTGATCATTGGTTGTTCAGAAAAAGTACTGCTAGGACCACTTACTAGATTAATTCCTCTACCAGTACCAGTACCTGTGTATTATATTATATATATTAGAAGAAGAAAAAGAAAAGCAGATTTTATTCTGGGACATTTAATCCCCTAAGAATAACAATGAATTAGAAGTGTAATAATAAATAATGTGTTATTTGTCAGTATTAATCCATAAATTAATGTATTTACTCATGCAGAAGTGATTAAAGATATTACAACCAGATTGGGAACAGGGAAACAATATATCTTCAACAAATGTCTACATTTACTGTTTAGTTCAAATATATTAATACATATTTACTGTTTAATTCAAGTATTTGAGTTTTGTTATCTAGTGCCAGTTTGTTATAATTGCTTTTTCTATATTGGTAGGATTCAAAATGATATCAAAGGTCAAATTGAATAAGTAAGGATGAAACTAAACTGATACCTATGGACTGCAATATGTTGCATAGATTTTGTCTTGTTCATTGAAGTTAATACAGGAGGCATTATTTTTAAATATATTTCTTCCATGCTTGTTTTGGCCAATTTTATTTACCAAATATAGATAAAAAAAATTGTTTGTACATCTGTTCTCTGATCAAATAGAGTTTAAGGTTATGATTATGACAATTTGGATACTTTATTTACAATTTGTTCCTAATGAAATATTAGGTTTCGCTTGTTTGTATTCTATGGTGAATCATCAAATTTTGTTGTGTCAGAGTTTGTAAAGCTTAATGATTGCAATGCTTGAGGTAAGAAATATAATTTTCTTGTAGAATTATTACATTATGTTTTCCCTGTTTCTTCTGAGCATGTTTTAAATACTATTAATTAATTGTTTAGATATAAATATAGAAAATATTAAAATTTGAAGTGCACTGTTTTAACTTGTTAACTTTAATTTATGTTCATAAAGTATTAATGGAGCACAGAAATTATTCGACAAATCTAATATATATAGTAGTTCTATAATACGAGTTTTACGAATGACTAAATATTACTTTTGCTATTAATGTTGAACAGTATATTATTGGGCATCTATTTAATTGACCTCGACTCTAATTATTGTATTTATCTTTCTAAAAACAATGTGTTATCATTATTTCATTTGATATGAGTATCATGTGGAATTAATATAGCAAAACTTTTGGCGGGGCATTCACATCGTAGCACTTTCACTTACCAATATACTTGATTAAGTTTTCGATCAAATAGTGTTAGTTAAAATTTGATTATTTCAATATATTATCAGATTTAAAGTTATTAAAGGCTTTTACTGTGTGTTTTTCTGAATCCTAAACATTGCTTATAATATCTTTTGCACCATTCCTTCACATCTTTCCTCACAATGGTGCCATAATGATAAACACCATAAGAATGATTATGTGCATTATATATTTTGGATTTTTTCAAGCTTAAAAATAATTTAAAATTTTCCATTTAGTTAAAAATTTAATTTAATTTCCATCAAAGAAATTGTATTTTAATTTACTGAAATTATTAGTTATACATTTTTTGTCACTCTCCATTTCTTTCTACTACTTACTATGTTAGGTTTTAAATACAATTAAAATTTCTTGAGCTTACCAAGCCATTTTTATGTAAGACATAACGAATAATGAGAGACTTATACTTATAACTAGTTTAAGATGTTAAAGAACTCTTATCTGACAAATTCAATTAGTTGTCTTACTCCTTTGTAAAATAGTTATTAAAGAAGTTAATATGAGATTGGGGAAATTGTTTTTGAGAAATATTGTCCTTTTGGAACAAGTCATAAAAGGAGTCTTGATTGATTTTGTTAGATAATCATTTTCAATTTTCAGTCAAAACTGATATGCTTGATCTTTTATTATATTTTTATCCTTTGATGTTTTTACTTTCACTTACGTATATATGTAATATGTGTGTGTATGTGCGCGCGCGCGTGCGTGCGTGCGTGAGCGTGCGTGTTAAAATCGGCTAACCGGAAGTGCCACTTTAAATGAACGCTGAAACACATTTTTACAATTTTCTCAAAAACGACTCTTAACGATTTTGATCAAACTCGGTGTATCATTGTATAATTAAGTGGCCTTTAATATCATTTACGTCTTATCCCCGTTGATGTCACTTTACAAGGCTTAAATGCCCAATGTTCATATGTCTTCCTCTAAAGTACCTTTAATATGGTTTATTTTAAAAAGTTAACCATTTCACATTATTCGGAGTTATGAAAAAATGCTACATATAACTTTTGAAAGAATTTAATAAGTTAATAAAGGAGAAAAAAAATAAAAATAAAGAAAAACCTGCGTTCCCACAGACTGTAGCGCCTCAACGAATGTACCGATTTCAATGAAACTTCGCTAAAGTCATTTTCTCGATACCCTTTAAATTTATCTATATAACATACTTCAACGAAAAGAAGCTGGAAAAAAGTTACGAGGGATGTTAAAATTAAAATCCAAATAACTCAAAAATTATACGCTTTTTTTCGATATTGTATACGGTTTTTTAAAAGTTTATGGAATTTCTTAAAAAAACAAAAAAAAAAATCGTTAAAATCGGAGGAAAGATATGGTCTCTAGTTTTTTTCCCTGAAGAGGTGAAAATTTGGATAAATTTAAAATATATTTTTTTAATTGTTGAGACTAAAAAAACTTTTTTTCTACAGATATTTAATAAAGTGTCTTTCCTAAGAACATCTTTCATAAGAAAGTAGTATCTAAATTTATACTTTTATTCTCAGTTCTATATTTCAACACTGCAATCACCACCTCTGGAATCAACTTACTCATTGTCTGCATAGATAACTTTTTCATCTAAAAATATCACTAAAATGACATCACCCAAAAATGTTGAAATTGGAGTTATTCATTCTGTGATTTATAAAAGCAAAGAAGGTTGTGTGGTTTATAAAAGCAAATAGAGTGAATAGATTTTTATTGCCTGTCGTCGATATATTACATAGACATTTTGTAATTATAATGGTCTTAATGACTTGTTATCTGTAACCTTTAAGCTTTAGCTCCTTTTAAAATGCACTTAAAAAACTTTTATAATAGCCCAGCATTGCCAGAAAATAATTTCTATTCAAAGTAGATCGTTAAGTGAAAGTTGTGTGTTGCGCCCACCAGATTTTTTTTATCTCTGACTAAAGTCCATCTTACAAGATCAATATTATAGAATGTGATATACATATCACAAGTGCCTTTTAATTGTTACAATATATCCCTGAGGCAGTTAATATATTCGATATTGACTGAATAGTATTGACCGTGTAAGGGCCCCTTCAGATGCACCTCGGCCTCATTGAGGTCTATTGTGCGTCATCATATTCTCTTTTAAAACAGGCCAGTAGCCTTTGAGCTATTGGCTCGAAACTTGTATGCTCAACTTGTGAACTTGTATAAGATAATAGAATCAATCAATTCACATAGCTTAGGATCCATTGATACAGTCATTTTCAAAATGAAAGTACCACATCCTAACCCATACCTTAACATCACATTAACATATATGGTAGACGATTTCATCCTCCAGATCACAAAATCTGCGAGTAAGTACTTCAGTTAAGCCCAGATTTAAGAGGTACTTATTAATATATATATATATATCTCAACAAATAATACACTCCTGTTCCTCATAAGAAGTGATATATTTCTGTTTAGACAGATTATTTTTAGGAACAAGTTGGAGTGTGTGTTTCCAATATAGCTTGATTTTATTGCCAACAGCTGCGATTGCCAATATGTATTTTGGCATAGCTTTGGCCAATACCGCAGATAAACTCTTGTTCTAAAGGCACCTGTGATGAGCCCTTCCTAGCAAGGCTATTTGTCTTCTCATAACCTAAATTCCTGAGTGTCACGGAACCCACTCAACCCTTAGTTTGCTGGTTCTACAGAGAATAATTTTAAATAAATAAGTTTCCTTTACGTTCATCCATCAGAATCCTTTCATATTCTCTTAGGTTGCATACTAGGTAATTAGATCAAGGAACATACCCAGTATGCGATTGGATGTCATGGAGTGATGTTCATTTAGCTGTTCTTTTTTTGTCCAGATGATACCTGAATTGGCCAAACATTGATGGGTTTTTTTTTTGCCTCCATTTTGGATACATAAGGCTGTGTAGTTTAGAATTTTTCCAAATTATAACCTAACATTTATGTTCTGTCTCTTGGTTATTTTGTTACTAATTTATATAAAATCAAATAAATTTAATAAATGGTTCTTTGCTATTATAATTATTTACATATTTATTTATTTTTTATTTTTCTGTAATAACATTATTTTTATTTATGTTCTTGTTACTTCAGGAAATCCCTCCTGTTTCGAAAAGGAAATCTCGGTCGTCTAGATCATCTTCATCTAATTCATTACCTCCCAACGCTTCTTCCCCCAAGCAAATGGAAACTGAAGACAGCAAAGATGTCTCATCAAAGCCTAAAGATAATGAACAACCCGAGAATGCAAAGGTTAATAATAAGAGTGACGATGAGGCGGATTTTTTCGGATTTGACCCTCCTACAGACAATGACAAGTGTACTGTCCTCATCAAAGCGTTGAGTATGTATCTATTTTATTTTATACAAACATAAGGTTTATAATATTGTACTAGTTTTATCACTATGTGTAATATTATCATTCATAAGCAATTTTTTAAAAACAGAGTTATATAATACTGAGCTGAGCGTAGCAAGAGGGGCTCAGCTCAGTCAGCAACTTGCATCGGTATTCTTCTTATATTCCGTATAACATTTAAAAAAAAAAAAAAAAAAATATATATATATATATATATATCATATATAACTTTTAAAAAAAAAATAGCAAAGTTGATAATGTTAGAGTTAAATAGAAATATCGAATATTTTTCCTTACTCAATCGATTAAGAATTATTCCAGATTCATTGCATATTTTACACTGGATCAACCATCATATATATATATATATATATATATATATATATATATACATCGCATTTTAAAAAAATAGTAAAGTTGATTATGTCGGAGAAAGAAAAATCGATTGTTTATGTATAAAATCAAATATTTTCCCTTACACATTCGATTATGAATTCTCCTACATCCATTGCATACTTTACACTGAATCAAAATAATTTGAGAAACTGTGCTGTGAAAACAAGCAGAAAAAAAGGATGACATTGAGGAATAAAACCATGCGATTGTGAGGCAGTGGTGATGTGAGTAGGCGTGGTGGGGAAAGCTGAGCGTAGCTTCAAAACCGAATCTAATATTGATATCTTATAACAATTAAGCTATGCCGCTCAGCTCCTCTCCCGCATCTGGTGGCCGGCCTGTTATTAAAAACCTTTAATTCTGTGTTGGAAGCTGCCTCAGCTATGCTTAATTCAGCTCAGTTGGTCAGCCTTAGTGAGGTGAAGCAGGTAAGATTTTGAGAAAATAGAAAAAAAATTCCTAAGCAAATTAATTTTCCTTTTTTATTTTCTATTACTTTTGAATACGCTGATTCTTAAAGATATTTGGCCATCATATGTTCAGGAAATATATGAAAACAAAATATGCAATTGCATAAAAAAAATGAACTTCATTTATAAATTCAGTTTCTTTCATATTTTACAACTGTTTTATGGTTAATTATAATTAATTTGTGTTCAGATTTGCTTGTTGTTTTGGGTAATTAATGAGGTAATAAAATTTTATTAAGATAAAAAGATATACTTTTTACATCAAATTGGAACTTAACTTCAATCAATGTTAAAATTTAATCAAAAGTCCAAACCCAAAATTTCAAATTTATATAGAAAATTGAGAAGCAAAGAGTAATAATCAAAATCACAATTATAAAAATGGAATGCTACTGAGCATTTTTTGAAGAATAGTATATTTCTTCAAAACAAGGAGAGCTGCTATAGTTTAGTTAAAATTCTAACTTGTGGATAAAGTTTGCTTTGCGATTTATCAAAACACTTTTAAATAGTTTGAGTTTCTATAGCAAGGTTGGTTTGACCAAGAAACTGGCCTTAGGACCAAAGATTTTTTTGTAGTTCTAGAAATTAAAGCATTCAAACAAATAAACTCTTCAGTTTATATTGAAGTATAGCTAATTGCATCATACTTCAAATTTTGCTGTTTCCTTTTTATCATAATTATTTTGTTATTACAGATCGATTTGTTGAATCGTTGAATCGAGTTGAAGAGTCGGATGATTTTATGGGCTTCGATACTGACACATCTGACATCCATTCGAAAAGTAATGATGTAGATTCAATAGACTCACACGCAGATGTCACTATGAATGGTATTATTTAATACCATATTTAATGAATTTTTTATGAATTTATTTTATTATTTTTTTAATGTGTTTTTTTTTAGAAACTGAGTATACTGAATTTTTTATGAATTTATTTTATTATTTTTTTAATGTGTTTTTTTTTTAGAAACTGAGTATACTGAAGGACTAATGGCCCCTCTCAGTGCAAAAAAAACACCAAGGTCTGTTAAAAAAAGTGTCAACGTTGACCTATCCAATCCTGAATTCAAGAAACCATTTGAATATGGTAAGTTATAATATTAGTTACTTCCTTTTTTTAATTTTAGAAGAAGTTATGGTTATATGTATCCTTTCAGGTATTATGGAACTAATTGAGGGTAAGGTAGGGATTTTAGGGCGATAAATTGGTAGATTATTACACTCGTAGAAACTAATTGATACCTTATAGCTAACCGGTAACGAGTTAACACTTCCTTCAATCTACAGCTATGTAGAGATAAGGTGCAAGGCAGAATGTTGATTTTTTTCCCACTGAATATTGTTTTGAAAAGTTCAATTTGTATTCTTCAATGCTTATAGAAAGTAAGTTCAAATTGCTAATTTATTTCACCATAAAAAAGAAAAAAAAACGTATGTGTCCACATTATAATCGGTTTAAAGCAATTTATTGTAGCAATGTTCATTTGTGTTTCTATTCTTCAGTCTTCCAACTTTATATTAAAAAGAAGAAGAGTAAATTTTATTCTGAACATTAAGGTCCCCTAAGAATAACTACAATGAAATTTACAATTGTCTGACATTAGAAAACAATTAAGAATAAAATATATTACAAAGCTATATAAATGGAAAATTAAAATGAACAAAAGGCATTAGTAGGCATAGGAAATTATAGATACATACATATGGGCTAGTTCACATACTTCATTCACTTCAAGCGATATGAATGACGTAAAATTATATCTGTAAGATAACAGTAAAATGTGGCCGACAGCTCTAAAAAATAAATACATTATTTTTACATATATATTACATATACATATATATTTACATATATATATTTACATATGTTCACAAAGAAACAAAAAAGAATTGAAGAAACAAAAAAATTTTCCTGAAAATTGATCTAACATAAGATTTGAGTACGATTTATTTGCTAAACTAAAGCAATGTAAACTGGCTTAAGGTAGTTAATTTCTGTTAAATGTAGAGGAAATAGTGAAGATTGTGTGATGTGGGCAACAGATTTTCTTACATTCACTTAGTCATCTGTATTCTCTCATTCACCCCTTTCTGACACGAGGATATGAAAACGTAATTTACATTAGAAATTGAATAGCCGTAACTTCGTTAATAGTTGTCCAAAATGAACGATTTTTATATGGCTTTGTAGGGAATTTTATTACCTTTCAAACGACAGGCTAAATGACGTGTTTTTCGGACTCAGGGTGCTCTGAAACGTATAGATCCGTCGAGAACCGCATGTCGGAAATTTGACCCGATTGCAATACTTTCCTTACCTAGTATAGGTAGGAATGTAATAAGTTAAAAAAATGTGTAAAAAATAGAATAAGCTGTACCAGCGCTAATACTGGTTTGATTCCGATGATTTTTTTTGTTTTGTTGGAAATTTAATTACCTTTCAAAAGTTTTATTATAAATTTTACTGTATAACATATACGTATAGAGTTAGGACCTATAACAGTTTTCTTTTCTTTATAACTTTTTTTCCTGAATTTTTTCGGGAATTTAGTCGATATACGAAAATTGAAAGGACAATGATTAGAACATTATAGGAAAGTTTTATCAAAATCGTTAGAGCCGTTTTTGCGCTATAGTCTATAGAAAAACATGTTTTTCATTTATTGCGCATGAAGCACAGAATTTCTGTCACAGGCATCAGTAGTCAAAACCCTACGAAATAAAAAAAGAAGCAACAAAATCTTATTACTTTTTATCTTTTAATCTTCCCAAATTTTATTACATGTTTAATTGTTATTTTTTTTTTAAATAGGTTGGGTTAGGGAGTTGGTCTACAGAAGTACCTCAGACAGCAATATAAGGAGAAATGCTGACATCTATTATTATACCCCAACTGGAAAAAAAGTTCGGTCTTCAAGAGAAATTCTGGAGTTTTGTAAGATTTTGGAATATTGATTTTTAGATATTTGTCGAAAGAACTGTAAAATATGAATGAGTTAATAATTAAATTGTATTGTTACATTTACAGTAACTGGAAGTGATTTAACACTCGATAATTTCACCTTCTTCAAAGAGCCTATCGGTCTAAATAATCCAGCAAAGGAAATAATCCGAGAGGCTAAAGCGAAACCTGGACCGCGGGGAATTGAGGTAGTAGTTATAATTTTTTTTTCTTTTATTTTATATCTTTGTGTTCTGGTTCATATTACAATTCGATAAATTTTCTTGATTTTTATCTTTTGATTTCTTTTTTAAGGATGGCACTCCACCTGTAAAGAAGTTGACACCAAAAGTTAAATTGACGACTCCCTCTACTCCTTCAAATACATCCAAATTTTCTTCAACTAAAGAAAATGCAAAAGCAAGTTTAACACCTAAAGTAGTGTTTAAGGGTAACGCTGCGAAGAACAGGATAAATTCAGGGAAAAATAAACTTGGTAAAAATATATCAAATTCAATTACATTATGCACTCGAACAATTTTAATTTTTTTTTTCTATTTATAATCTTTATTTACAACTTTCGATTATTGTAGTGACTTTGTAAATTGGATGAAGAATTAGGATGGCTACTTTCATGGGAAAAAAAAAATCGTGTAAACTTGAGACGTAGTAGAATTCAAGTGATAAAGGACTCATACGGTGGGGTTCTGGGGTGTGGTCTGACTCTACTGTAATGTGATTAGTCCAGTAAAATTAAGGATTGACCCCAACATTAAAAACAATAAAGATGAAACTTGTCAAAAATTGTTTATTACCCTCCCCATAATAACTGGTAAAAAGTTCCAAAGAATCCCATGTTAGGTTTTGATGGGGAGATAGAGAAAAGAACAGAAAACTGACATTTTTTTTAGTTCTTTGAGAATATCTAAAAAACTGAGATTTTTCACAATGGTTGTTCACTACAATATTAAAGTACTTTAAAATTTCTATAAAAATGGTCCTATACATTTTTTTTGATAAAATAAATGGTTACGGAGGTATTTATGAGATTATATTTATTTCCACTTCAAGCATAAATTGCTTCAGTAGAAGATAACTTTTTGAAGTTTAATTAGTTTTCTAACATTTTCGATCTTTCGAATTATTATTCAGAGTTTCCTTTTAATAAGTCAAAAAAGTTTATGACAACAGAATCATATTTGATATCAATCAATACAGAATTTTGTGATAATGATGTGAAATTTAGATTGACGTTAATTTCATATAATTAATAATTTGTGATAGAATAAATTAAAACTTATATAAAGATACCATAAACCAAGGTCTTATTAAATACAGAGAACCAGGAAACTTAGGTTTCACCAATTACTTCATAGTAAAATAGATTAAATTTGCAATAAAAGCAAGTAAATCTTGTCCATTTCAAAACTATTTAAAGGGGAATTTTAAACAGCTAAATTTGGTAAGTTCGATTTTTCATAAAATCAAGAGTTTTTTGCGATATATCTTATAAACCCCAACTGGACTGAAGATACCTCATTTTCAGAAAAACTTCTTTGAAGAGCTTTAAGTCTATATTAATTAAGTTGTGGTTTGTTACAGAGTAAGTCGAGATTCATCCCTAATTGAGTTAAAAGATGTAAAAATATTTCGGTCAAATCCTAATTTTACCGTACGAATAATATTTTTACTCAATTAAAGAAAATTTAAAATCAACATAATTAATATAGACTTAAAGCTCCTCAAACAAGGAAGTTTATCTGGAAGAATGGTATATTTTGTAGGTACTTCCCACGGCAGTGACTGCTATTGCATACTGTCAACTGTTAGTGCTTTGGTATATTTTGTAGCCAAGTCCTCTGGATTTAGCATCTAACCTTAAATTTAATGGTTTTCATTTGTATCGGTAGAGCAGCAATACATACGATGGCTGAGTTTCCATCTTATTTAATAAAGACACTATTTTTTTCCGGTATTTATAGTTGAATATCAAGGTTAGGTCATGTCTACTATGAAATGTTAACAATTATCTGTGGATTAATGCCCACCTTATAAAAAATGATGGTTTCTTATAATATTTCGAATAGAAATTATTTGCATTATGGTAGGAAGAAGATGGCCAAGTATTATTTTAAGAATTGAGAATGTACCCCACAGATTTTAAATTTATAACTTATTATAAGTATAGTTGCTTCGACTGCCATCAGCGATGGTCGTTCTTTTTAAATATGATTCATTAATTTTGTTTTAATAAATAATCTTACTTCAACGTTATAAAAATGATTTACTATAGTTTTGTTTTAAATTTTAAATAATTTTTCATTTAACTTTTTCTGACTTGGTGAAAAAAAAAAAGGAAATGAAACGTATCATGATGATTGTTATTATCAAAACTATTCTTCGATATGATAATATAATATAGAACCACCTCTTCAGCTTCACTGCTTAGAGAGATTTCAGAAACAAGCAAGCAGTATAGATATGACATCATACGTATATATGACGTCATACACTGCTGAGCAGTGCCAGCGAAAAAGAGTCGTTTCTATTCCACTAAAGCACTGCTTTACTGCTAGCAGTCGGCGTGGTGGGCAATACTTTCAAAATAATATCTTAGGGTAAACGTAGAATAATTCTGGAAAAGGAAGGATGGAAGAAAAAGAGTTTGATGAGAAACCCCTACACCAAACTTTGTCAAATACTAGAGCAAGTATTTGTGGGCCTGTAAAAGAGCAGTCAAAAGTATTAGGGGTTCAAACCAAATAAGCTCAATTGGATTTATATAACTATGATTAGACCAATGGCTGAGGAGCATGCATGTGGAGAAAAGATTAACAATTAGAAGGAATTTCGCTCATCAGTATTTCAATTTGAAGTACTCAGTTGTGTAACCACCAGTCATTGAATCAATACACTCTAAAATGTATATACTTTAGAATGATGTCCTAGAAAATAAGGTTTTATACTGACACGTAGAAGGTTTTATACTGACACGTAGGCAGCAATACGGTCACTAATTGTAAATAATTACTATGCTGCTTTGAACAACAGTACAGTAATGAAACTATTGAATGGGTACCGGAAAATTCTGCTTATCCAGACAATGAAGAAACTTGTAGTTTTGCCATGGAAGGAGTCCCTTAAACCCAGAGCCAGTTGGCACTGCTAAAAGAAGATCTAGAGTGGCTTATGTGGAGACAAAACAATATTAATAAGAAACAGCTATACTTTAAGCCGTTCCTTATTAGCCCCAATGAAAAAAAGAAGCAAATTTGTGCTCAAATTAGATAAAACATCTCTAAGAAAAATTAAAATGACCCATACGCAAAATTAAAATGGTACAGGGTCACTGTAAAATAAATTATTTTATGTTAAAACAGAAGCTGGTAGCTTATTCTTTTGCAGATTCTGTCACAGTGGTGAAACTGTCGATTATGTTAAAAACTGGTGAGGTAGGCATAATGAACCTGAAAAGACATCATACAAAAAAAAAAAAAAGTTTCGAGCAATCTCCAGAACACAATACACAATAGTTACATATGATTTCTACTTGTGCCATGTATATGTAGTTCATCCCTGTGTTTAGTTATTAACTAATACGTAACACTCAGTGTGTCAGTAATAAATAATGTTTAATAAAGAAAAAGACCATTTTTATTTTGTGGAATTAAACTTTCACATGAGTCTATATCATATGAAGTCAATTTATTATGATTTTCTCATTAAGTTCATTAATGATAATAAATCGAAAAGGAAGTTTTTTTTTTTTAATTGTGGAATTGATTGACACATATGACCATTGTATATTTTTTTTCAGTTGATTGAAATCTCAATTTTTATTGAAGTGGTGTTAGCTCTTTTTTTTTTTTTTTAAGTAGTCATGGTTTTAAATAACCTGTAAATAATTATTTATCAATGGAATTAATAACAATTTAAATATCAATTCTGATTAAAAACACATGTTATATATAATTAATATTTTTTGTTTTTACAAAATTACTGAATCACCTGCTTATGGAGGAGTTTGTTATAGTTTATCTTACTATGGTTATCTTAAGGTTAACATACATATAAGATATTTTTGTTATTTAGACAAAAAGAGAAAATCCGCTGGACCTGATGATGTTGATATTATAATGGAAAGCGCCGAATGGAGTCCAGATCAAAAAATTAAGTAAGTTAAAAATTATTATCAAAAAATGTGTTTATTTGTTTAGGGGATAGTTTATTGGTGTTACATGCAATTTTTACATTTGTTTTGTTTTGCTAATTAGTTTATATTTTTAGTTGTATTGTAGAACCTATTCCTTATTATACTTCAAGATATTATGAACCATTATTAAATAATTTGAGTTATTGTTTAAAATTAACTGGTATTTAAATTGTTGGGTGTAATCGGACTACTTACTTCACTTTTTTATTATTTATTTTTCTCCTCTGCTTTTCTTTTTCTAGTCTAGTTTTGTTTTATTTTTTCATTTATATGTGTTTTTTAAATTTTTATATTTCTTTTGATAACTTTGCCATATCATGGCTGGGCATCAGATTATATCGACCACACTAGATGGAATACCGAAACTAATCGAGTGTGTCGGAATTAAAAAAGCTATTTATAATCGAGATACCTTAATCTATTGATGTTACTATTAAATTATTAGTAATTATATCATGGTTTAGACTTCTGCTCACTGCACTTGCTCAAGAGATAAATAAATCCTCCTTCAAAATCGGATCCTTTTCAGTTATTATTATTTGGGCTTTTGTCTGTGGAGATGGATACTCTTCAACGTATAATATCCAAATTGAATTCATCTACACTGATGACCAGAGATCGCCAAAGTCGTAATCAATGATTACATGATTACAATTGAAAATGAAATTTAATTTTATACTTGATTGAATAGCACTAATATAGCAAAAATGTGACACGATCACCTGATTACTATTGTAATCGGAAATCTAATCACCGTAAATGTAATTGTTGATTATGATTATGCCTATCTATTCTGACGACCCCTGTTTGGTAAACCCTGGCGACTACTAAATAGGAGCAATTGAGAGAATGGAAGTTTAAGCTGTCATTTAATTAAAGTAGAAACAACAATCTTATTAAACTCTGGTGATTCCAACTAAAAGTTGACGTTTGTCTTGAAATGCACGTAATGCAACCTAACATTAACATCTTGTATTTGTGAGAACATGTCTAGAAGATGTTAATTTTTTTTGTAGTGCCTTTGTTTCTATGAAAGATATGGAGACGAGTTTCCTTTCCTGATATTCTTTTAGAAAAACTTGACTGGTTGTAGTATTCCATCTACAGTGTGATTGTTGTGATCTTGGACCAAGCCGCAATTTGGTCATTCTTTGTCTACATATTTTCAAATATTCAAAGGTCTTTGTAATTGTTATAGCAAGGGTTTCACAGGATATTCATTTAACCTCCTGTAAGTTTTTTAAGAAAAACATTAAATTTTACTGTTTAATGTATTTCCAAAATGCTTGACCATTCCGATTATTCTTATTTTGGTACTTGTATAAAATTATTGCTTCGATTTGACGAGTGGCTCAAGATTTCATGATAACACTCTACAGGGTGCCTCAGTCCTTAAAGGCCAAACCGGGGAGGGGGAGGCATTATTTTAGACAAAATTTCTAACAAAAAATTTCATTTGATGCATGGGCCGATTTTGAACGGAAAAGGAATTAGGATCAATTTTATGTTTTTCTTAAGGTAGTCACGGTTTTTATTGAATAAGAAAAAATTGCTCAAAATCTGTGCAAGATAATTAAATTCTAAGTATACCGTCGTAAAATAGACAAAATTATTATTTGAAAACAGTGATTAAATTTAGTAAGGTCAATGATAAAAGGGACTTGCAGGAGGTTTATTACAACTGCAGTTACAGCACCCACATGCGTGCAGCATATATATGTATAGTGGCTATATTAGATCTTCTGAAAATATCTTTTATCATTGACCTTAGTAAATTTAAACACTTCTCAAAAACATTTTGTCTATTTTATGATGGTGTACTTAAAATTTAATTATCTTGCACAGATTCTTAAGCAATTCCTTCTTATTCGATAAAAAATTAGACTATCTTAAGAAAATTGGTCTTTTCTGTTCGGATTCGGCCCTTGCGTCAAATAAACTTTTTTGTTGGAAATTTTGTTTATAATCACCCGCCTCCCTCCCCCCTGTATGGCCATTAAGAACTGGAACGTCACCCTGCTGTATATGGAATTCTGAGAATGGCAGAGGATTGATGTGTTCATTGTATATCTCCTTTTGGTTATATTGCAATATATGACGTGAATAAACTCCCAACTGTTCCTTATTTGTTAAAATTGGGGCCTCAATTAATTTTAATTTCATCAATGCTTTCGTTTCATGCTTGCTATCTATATTCAAAAGGGATCAACAAACTCCCAATGGGTTCTTTTCAGCTGAGATCAGAGCCTCACCATGTGGTTTTGTCGCCTCAATCCATTTTTGGATACACTCAGCCATTCCTGAGATTCCATTTATACCGTGATTATAAGATCTTGTGTCGCACATCAAACTGGAGCAACACTTGTACAATTATACCCTAATTTTTTTTTTTTTATTGTTGTTAGGATTTATTGAAATACAGTAAAAGACTGTCTATTAGCCGGGTATTCAATACAGTTTAGTTATATGTAGAGTAAAGTTAAAAACCTACAACAAATAATAATAATAATAATAAAGGATGTAAATATCATTGTTGGTTTAGTGCAAAATGTTAATAAGCATGTTTTTGATGAAGCTAAAGTTTTAAAAAGATTTTTGTAAATTTCATTGATAAAAAAACAAAACAATAAGTACATTAAGATAATACAGACCGTTTTGTAAATGAAATATAGTTGTGTATAAACACAAAATTTTCTGATTTTACAAAGAGGAAATTCATCCCATCGAAGTTGTTGGTAGGGATGGCCACCGATAGTCGATATTTTTTTTCCGATACTTGATATATTACCATTTACAGTATCTACTTCCATTTTATCGACTATCAATATCGCCCCCCTACGATATTTGGATATTTTAATTTAAAAATTAAAATTAAAACTTATCATTTTCGGAAAGCACTAGAAATTATTTATGAATCTAATTGTTAGGAAAAAATTATACTTATCTTACCTGTTTGATATAGAATGTAGCTCGTAGTAGAGGAAAATATCAATACTTTGATATTATTTACTATCGATGGCCATACTTAAGTAGAGTTTAGCGTGTGTGGGACCCTTCTCACTCAGTAAACTTAATTTGCAAAATTTATTAATTAAAACCTTCTCAAACTAAGGTTATGAATTTTCAAAGATATTGAGTGAATGAATGAAAATCTATGGGTGTATGGTAGAAATAATTGGTTGAAACGCAATTTCTGGAAAAATTCTACGGATGTTATTGATGGACAAGAACTATAAAATTAATTTTACTAAAGAGGGTAGAAGAATTTATGTTTCCATTAATTTATTTTAAGAGGAAAATAACATTTTTTTTTTTTTATGCGCGTATGTGCTAGATGATATTATAGTTTCGATATTTCAAAAATGTTATAATATTGACTTATTGTATGTATTTCAAGTCCGATATTTTGATGGCAGTGATAGTTATAGAGCGATATTAATATCGATATTTGGCCTCCAATATCCCATCCCTAGTTCTTGATGATTTAAGGTTATGAAGTGTCACTAATAAACCAACAATATATTTGTATTTAAATGTACGTGGGCAAGTCGAAAAGTAAAGCGACATTTGGATTTCCCTCTGAATCATGTGTATCAGCTGTTTATTGAAAGTATTGTTTCATTGTTAGCTATGTGTAATTGTGCTTGAAAGTATGTTCGAAATGCGTTCTCCTTGTTGTCTGATTACACTAAGGAAGAAATACGAGCAGTGATACGTTTCCTCCATTCAGAATGTGTGAAACTAGCACAGATTGTTCTGTTTTTCGATACTTGCGATGTCATCAACTGTAATTTGTCGATTATTGAGAATCATTTGTTAAGCTGTTTCAATATTTTAAAGAAATTATATCCATCTATTTAAAAATTTGATTTAGTTTATTATTGTGTGTTTTTTGTTTCCTCCCCTTCCTCGCCTTTAAGGTTATGCGGGGTTTTCCCGGGCCAGGGGATGTGGGCTGGGATCAAAACGACTCCCCTGTCACCGGGACGCGAACTCGTGACTATTTTTATCAATTAGTCACATATCAGGTTGCCGGGCAACGGCGGTGCTGTGCACACGCTTTAGCCTGTTCGGCCACACCCCGCCCTCAAATATTGGTAGTTGGAAATTTTCTACAAAAAGGCAGAAATTTCAATTATAAAAATTGATAAGACATTAATTTATAAATGACTATCTTTACCTGGCCGCCACGCGCTGCTATGGCTTAGCCTGGCAAAATGAAAAAGAAAGAAAATAGAAAGCACATATGAGTATATTAGTAGCAAAGGACATCTGTCATTTTTAAAAAGTTGGAAAACAAATTTTTCTGTAAAATGGCTTCAATTGAAACTAATTCTAATAGCTTTTTTTTTTCATGATTCAAATTGAACATTCATAATCATCTGAGTAAATACGCCGTCATTCATAATCATCAGAAACAGTCTGAGTTAAACTTATAAAACTAAATTAAAAAATTAATTAAAAAAACGTATAATAGTATTGACCTACATAAGGAGAATCATATAAATTCTTCAAATGATAATTTCAATTACTGTAGTAATTATAAAACTTTTGATTAATCAATAAAAAAAAAAAAAAATGCTTGCCGACGTTCGGTAGTGAGGAAGCTAAAGGAAACGGCCTTTTCTGAAGAGAAATCAGTAAATGTTTAAAACTCAATAACTCTGCAACGAAACGTCCGATTTCGATGATTTTTTTTTTTATTTGTCAGCAATTCAGAAATCTTTCATATAAATATGGGTATTATATTTCAAAAATTGTGTACTGTTTTAGTTATCGTCAAATAAAATATTGAATTCATCATAACATTTTTTAGTTTGTTTTCGGGAAAGTATGTGTATAACATTAAATTAAAAGGGTTTCAAGGGGAAGACTTTAGCCAAGTTTCGTTAAAATCGGTAAAGCCGTTTTGGCACTACAGTTTATAGCGACACATTTTTTGCGGCTTTAAACAGAAAAAAATTTACATTTTTATTTTTTTTACATATATAAAATTATTGTAAGACAGAAGTACTATGCCAGAAACCTTCCCAGGAGTGTACGGAACAACTTCCCAAAGTTTCATGGCGATTTTTTTTTTTTTTTTTTTTTTTTTTTTCTTTTTTTATTATTATAAACTTATTTTAGAATGATTCTAAACCAATTTTACTTTTTACTTCAACTCAAGTTCCTTCACTTATAGCTTGTATTTATTCACATCTAAATCTATTATTTTAATTTGTTTTCTAAAATATTTTTTAAATTTTGAATTCCTGTGTGAACCTTCATAGTTTTATTATTTTAGCTTATTTTCTTTCGCTCATTTTCATCTGAATATCTTTTTCTCTATCTAAATTGTTTTAATAACTGTTAGATTAGAATAATATATTTGTAAACCCGTAGTAGCTAAACCCAGTAGTGCAAAAACTCTCTCCCTCATTTACTGTACCCCATCCCTTGAGTGTTAATCCCAGCTATAGCTAGAGTCTCGGCCCTACAGCCCAACCAGAGATGTCTGCTCTATCGAGTGCCGCCTCGCCATGGGCCTGATACCAACTCTCCAGTGCCACAAATGCCTCTGTCTTTACCACCCTGAATGCGTTGGACTTCAGAAGGAAAAGTTGAAACCGAACCACTCCTACGCTTGCAAAGTGAGTTTTTCTGTATTTTTTTATTATTATATTTTAATAAATTTCTATCCATTTTTGAAGAGAAGTTGTTAAGGAGTTACGTAAAAAAAAAATTAAAAATAAATAAATTTAATCAAAAATAAATTTATTTTTAATTTTTTTGTTTACTGAATATCTCAGCCAACTTCTCTTCAATTATTTACTACAGTCAACCATCGATCCATTAATTTATAAACTACCTTTTCTCTTCAGCCCTAACATTACAATTTCAAAATCTCAGTTGTAGTTTTGAGAATATTTCCATTATTTTATTTGGATTAAAAATTAAATTTAATATGTGAGCTAAAATTTTATTAAATTAATTTAAAAGAGCAAATATTATTCTACTCGTAATTTATCTGTTTTTTCAAACTTTTCCCAAAACTTGGCTTCAGATATAAAATTCTTAAAAACATTTTTTTTTTATGAAGTTTTTAAGAACTATTATTTTTAATTATTCTTATTTATTATAATTTTATATATAGAGAAGCTTTCTGTGTACAAAACTCTATTTAACTCTCTAGAATCAAAATAAAACATTAAATGTGTAATAATTTTATAATTGTCATACCGACTAATATCATCCATCGATTTGTTTAATCTTCACTTCTTCAAAATTTGCTATTCAAACTAAATTCTTTGCGCTGGGCCCTGAAAGTATGTCCGTATTCAAGATTTAAAATTAAAAATTACAAGACTGTTGTATGGTATGTAATATGAATAATAAGATATATTTAACAAATTTAGAGTTAAACTCTGGTGTTGAAATTCAATATTTATTTTGAATGTAATTTATTAATTATATTATTCAAGTAATATTTTCTTGATCTCTTTTTAAACTTAATTAAACATAGCTATGTTAATTTTCCTCATTTTAATAAGTAGGTTTTATTTGAAACGGTTCTACTTTGATCAAAGTGATACTTAATAGTGATATTATTCCACTCCTATGTAAATAAAATTCATTTTTGGTCATAACATATCGTCATAGGTTTCTAATTATATATCTTTGTATTTTGTATCTAAACAAGTTGATATTTTTACAGAACTGTCAAGTAATGAAAAGCCCGCCTCCGCCAACTCTGCCACCTCCTGTTTCTCTGCCACCCATCGTGTCTCTCCCACCACCGCCACCTCTCACTCCTATTGTTCCTGTGTCGAGGGGAAGCAATAAAACTACCATAGTAACATGTTCTGGACCACCTGTTTCTTCGGTGACATCTCAATCTACTACTGTCAATAGTAGAAGTGGAGGAATAGTTGGTGCTGTAACTACATGGTTGGCACCGTCGTCGTCTATACAAGGTGCGCCACAGGAACATCCGATGACCTCAACAGATACCCCACAGGCAAGTACTTATTCCGTTTGTTGATTGTGATAAGCTAAAACTCGAAAGTTTACAATATTTTAGATTTAATATAAAATTTTATTGTGATAAATAATAAACCCTTGGTTAATTATTACTTTTTCGTTGAATATTTTGGAGACTATCCTAGATAATAAATAATCTGATTATTACTGTTGCCGACAATTCGACCCAAGCTTATTAGGTCATCTTCAGGGCTAAAATTAAATCAGTTATATAAGATAAGGGAGACAATACTTAAGTAAAATTCTATGCATTTATTTATTATAATTTTGTACATGGCTATACATTTATACTATTCACATATCAATTCATTATTTTTGTGTTATTAACATTAATATATGATCAATTCTATTTAATAACTGTTGATATATTACACTCTAGTCTATTTATGAAATAATTGGCTAAACTGATTTGACTAATAATATCTTATTTTAAGAAATATTTACAATTTTTAAATATATTATAATTTTCATAATAAGCTTTAAAAACTCCAATTTAATTGTCATTTTTTAATTTAATTTTTATATATACAAATTAGGGTATTTAGCAGATTGGCACCAGTTAATTTTTAATTTTAAACTGTTATTTTATGTGATTAAAGAAAAACAGAATATTGAAAAATTTAGTTATAATTAACCTAATTTACTTTTTTTAAAAAGATTATTCACATTGCCAAAACTCTTTGATACTTGGTAATATTGTCTTAAACAAATCTTTCCTGTGGCGTTTTCTCCGCCAAACAAATTCATATAGATACGAGTCCATCTTATTTCTGGCTGTCACATTCTTTTGTTTGATCTCTTTGCGGCAGTCCACATAGACTCCATGTACACTTTAAGTGTTTGCTCTACTATTAGGATCTTTGAAATTCTCTGAATGGTTCACTGTTTGGTGTTAGTAGCGCATTCCTGAAATTTCCTGTACAATCCTATATGATCTCCATAAACCAGATATAATAGTTTGGTCTAGAAGAACTGTTTCTTTATTGCATTCCAAGAGAGTTTCTGAAGTTCTGTCTGGGATTGCGTACAGGAAGCACTCCTTCGTTTCGCGACATATGCCACCAAACTCATTTTTTGGGAAAGATCTTCCCAGCAATTGCACTTCGGCTAAGAAAAGCACGACTGATCATGCTCAACAATTGTTCAAGGTTCTCCAGTTTTGATTGGATTGGTCAGTACGTTGCCTGCACAAACCTCCCGCAGATAATTCTTCCAAACCATTATAGTATGTTCTGTCGTTCACAATTCTTTAGCACAGTACTTTGTAGTAGTGTACTCACACCAGGAATAAATAAATAATATGAAAGTGATTAAAGGTAATCTTATATGCTCTAACCATGTATTGGAGACTATTCCCATCCCATTTCTAGGCGAATGTTTATTACATCCCCACCTATCACAAGCGTCATTTCTTTCCACGAGCTTCATTTGGTGCCCTTTATCACAGAAGCGCTTTTTATGGATAATTCCAGCTTTCTGATAAAACTTGAGAGATTCCTTCTCTCCGTAATTCAAACTGGATTATAACCTAAAAGAGTTCATCTTTGCTAACTAAATGAATCTGTTAACAGATGTTTATATAACAGAAGAATAATGACATTGATTGAAATGTAACTCATATCTATAACATTTCCTGTTTAAAAATAACTGGTGGGGTTCTCTGCAAAAGACAGACCCACAACTTACTTTCAGCCCCATGCAATATTTTTAAATTGATTATGTTTGGATTAAAATATAATGTAAACTAATTTTTTTTTCTCTTTTATGCTGGAAGATGAACCTTAACTCTCTTAATAATTTAATTTCTTAATGATAAAAATGGTTGATGATTTTAAAATAAAAAATTGTAATGTTACCAACCTGTAAACCTCGGAAATTAGGCCTAGAAAAGTTCAGATTTTTTTTTATATATATGTCTGTAACAACCTATTATGGATAAATAGTTAAATGAATTTTTTTCATTAAGTATGAAAGACACTTCATTTTTATCTTCCTCATTATTATAGTACTAATGTTTTCATTTGAATTTATCTATATTTTGTTTTTGTTTTTTTCAGGGGCTTGTCAGCTTAAATGGAAGACCATTCCTGTTTATACCTAAGCATAATGTTGTGAATGTGGTGAACAGTCAGCAATCGAGTATCGAGGGCGGTGAAGTGTCCAACCCGCCTAGCCTATTCCTAGTTCCCTGCGATCCTCCTCCGAAGCAGTTGGGCGCTAAATGCGGAGACCCAGCGCCCACTCAGCTGTGAGTGTTGAGATTGTCTGCTCTCTTCAAACCTCTGACTTTGCTTGGGATCTTTGCCTTTATATCTTTCAGATGTCCTGGCTTTTATATATATATATATATATATGAGGGAACTTATTGATGATCTTAATTTTTCTTCTTTATTTTCTCAGATAATTTTTAAGTATTATTATTACTTGGGGGAGTGGTATTATTGTTTTAAAATTTTATCTTTAGTTTTCCTTATTACTTTAATTTAAGTCTCTATACGTTAATAAGTATAATTAAGTTTACCTATATACAGTCAGGTGATTTTTTTATAAATATCTCCTTAAATATTGAAATAAACTTATTACTGCTAATTTTTATAAAATAATATTTTAAGCCATGAAAGAAAAAAATGTTTGTGTGCTTTTGTTTTGCTTAGCAGTGATTGCGCCTTTACACCATTTTTAAAATAATTTTCTTCCTCTATTAAGTTTTATTCTGCTGATGTCTCTGTGAAAAGATTTTTTGTGATAGTTTTGTAGCTTGGCAAGTCTGATTTTTTATACATATCCTCTTTGTATGACGCGCTGAATCAATATATTATTCTCTCGTCATCACTTTAGTTTTGATTTTTTTTATAAACACAAGGAGGGTAGTGTTGATTGAGAAGCGTACATTAATATTTCATCAAAGTGATCTCATTTTGCTTTTAAACCATCTTCCGCACCAACCCAATGTATCATTAACATTACAATACTGAGTTAGTGTAAGTTTATGGTTAGTCTTTTTGCATAACTGAGGTATTTTCAAGTATGGCAAGCAAATTACTTTTATGTAAACTGTTACTTCAACAGACTTTCGTGATAATATATTGTTTATACTTACAATATATTTGTAAGAAGATGAATATAGATATCTAATGTAAGAGTTTTTGAACTACTAGTTCAAGAACTAATATAATGATTTTGAAATTATTAGTTACTTGGTAAACAACTAGTAATATAAAAATTCTTAAAATGTTTGTATTGTTAACTTGCTCCTATGGATATGAAGTTGTCGAGACTATTCATACTTAAGTGAGCCTTTTTCTTGTTCTAATTTATTCATCACCTTCAATAAATATATAATTTCAAATATAATACCAGACTGCAGATGTATATCTACTCACTTTTTTTTTTTTTTTTTATGAAATGAATGAAATATTGAAACAATTATGCCCATTCTTTTGCATGATCAACTTGCAATGATTTAGATGCTGCTAAAGGTTCAATGATTTTATTTTATTTTTGAAGTGATAACTTCTATAGGCACATTTTGCACTTTTTTGTGGAGAGTGAATTAGATTGATCCGTCAGATTTCCAAAGCGTTAATGTTCGGGTAAAGTTGGCTTAGGTCGACTAATTGAAATGTTTTTACATATGGATTAAAATATCTCAGAAACTGCTGAAATTCGGGTCTGCATAGTGTAAGCAAGAAAATTGTTCAGCATTTCACACTCTCTGTAATAGGCTATTATTCAAAATTGTATCTTAAATCGAAGCTGTGTTAGAGAGACGAAAAGAAAGAAAATAGTGTTGAAAACCAAATGATAACAAATTTTACGGAAGATATGGATTAAAATATCTCAGAAATAAAAAATCGGACCTGCATAATACTGTAAGCGAGTGAAATGTTCAACATTTCATTCTCTTTATCATGAACTATTATTCATAATTTATATTTCTTATTATTAATCTTGCCTTGTTGATTTTTTCACTTCTATCTTGTGCTCTAAAGCCACACACCTTAGTTTTTGTTTTGTTTTTTTTTTGTAAAATTTATCAAAGCACTATTAGTCAACTGAATATAATACTTAATGGTTGCAATTGCACATCTGACAAAGAATTTCTCATCCCTTCCAATTGTATCAATAGATTTCTAGGAAGAATTTTTGTCTTAAGTTGAGATTTTTCCTCATTTATTGTAACTAATGTTTGCCCTGTGGTTGAAATTGAACCATAATCATTATTGAGAATATGAGGAGAACATCTATAAATTGATATGACACTTTTTTTCTACTCTTACTCATTTGTTCATTGTGAATCTACGAACCTACACTTTTATACGTACTTACGGTACAAAGCAGTTCAGTACTGTTAGTTTACTTTTTGAGATATTCGCATACATAGATTTTTTACAGGTTTTTATTTTTAATCAATGATGTAATTCGCCCTCATTATCAACAATCTTTTGGCATCTAGTGTGTGTGCAAGTTTTTATTGCCCGATTGATAAAAATCAATTTGTTCTTGATAAAAATATATAGAGATGGCATTTTGGACATCACCCAAATTTGTAAATCTTTTGCCACTTAATAAGTGTTGAAGTGATCGGAATAAATGAAAATCCGAATGGAATAAATGCAGTGCGATTTTGCTTTATCGTGTTGTAGAATAACATCTTTACTGTCGACAATCGTTGGCTTCTTTTAAATACTTGATTGATTTACATTATCCAATCATTCATGGTAAAGGTCTGCATTCATAGTTTGTTCAGGTTTCAGCACTTCAAAATGAGAAATGCCATTTGTGAATGTCTTAACGCATTTGGATAAACATCGCAAATGTTTTTAGCAGCAACTGTTGCATTACTACCCTGACGAAACTCAAAAAGAATGCAATGCTGGATATGAACCTCTTCTGGTATTTGGCTAGTCATTTCACCAAAAATTAAATAAAAAAAATGTTTAAATTTAATTATTTACAACTAAACAAATCACTACAACCTTAGAATGTCTGTGCTATGACTTAGATGTACACAATGAGTTGACAATTGACGATCAAATATTGACATGCAGAGAAACCACATTACTTTCCTCTTCCTCTAATAGATTACATTAACTTATTTTATTTATTATATTGTCAATTGTTCACTGATCAATATTCTATGCAAATAATTCGCATGTACCAACTAGTTTATTATATTTTAATTATTCACTTAAGCAAAAAAATAGTTCTAAAACTCATATCTCAATGTATTTAAGTTCTCTAAATTCATATTGCAAGGTTATACTGATTTTGATTTCCTATAATTTATTATGGTTCTATCATTTACAAGTCAGGATGTATTTATTATTAAGATCCTATAAGTATATTTTTACACATTTTATTATATTAGAGATTTTATATATACATATTACAAATTAGATTACTATTATACAAAAAAGAATTAAAATTAAACTTATTCCTTGTTTCCATGGTGACCAGATATCAGCCTATGATAAGTATTATCATATCTAACCTAACATATCCAGTTGTAATGGTGGTTATGTGAGAAAACATTATTTTGATTATATCTGTATTTAAACTCAATTCTATCAAATGTTTTTTTTTTTTTTTTCGTTTTTTGGGTTAGATTAAAAAATTAGTAACTCAGATTATTTGTTTCTTTATTACATTCATTGTAAATTTCTTTATTATTTTAGATGATTTTATTAATTTTGTTTATATTAATTTGATATTAAAATTAATATTCTATAGCTTGCCCGCGATTAGATGACAGCCTGAGGATGAACTCATGGAGCACTATGTTAAAACTAACTTTTCCCCAATATTTTCTTATTGTATTTACAAATATATACTTATATTCAAGATAACATTATCATTGTCAAGTATATATATTACCATTCAAAACAGTTTTACGAGTTGCTTTGAGGCTGCCAACTAATTATGGGCAAGCTATAGATGCATATATATAATTTTTATTTTTATGAATGAGTTGCATTTGTTAAAATAATTATGACAACAGCTGTTCTTTTAGTAGTGTATTGTTCATTTCTAACCGTCGCCATGTAAACGAGGTTTAAGTATAATTTAGTTGCATTACTGACTGGTTTTGAATGACAACTTTTAACACTTAATTATTTAAGTAATTTATAACATTTATTTTGTTTCAGAAAATGTGCAAATATATTGGTTTCTTTTCTTTTCTGTTTTTTTTATTTTTACTTTATTAAATAACAGCTGAATATCTGTTGAAGAATGTTGTATGCATGCTGTTTCTAAACCATGTATGAATTGTTTGTGATTTAGGTACATTAATAATTTGATTTGTTTTTCAGATAGATGTCCTGGATTTTATCATTATGTTTTGGCCCTTTGATAATTCCTCCTGCCTACCTTTACTCCTTCTTACTCTTACTCTTTCTTTTTAATTTATTTGTCTTTATTTTGTAATAGAAGTAATGTAACATCAGCACCAACAATTTATAGCCAGTTACTTACTTTCCATGCATTTTACTTTTATATATCTATTTAATAAAATCTATTTTATAGAACATGGTCTGCTAGTTAATAATTATTATTGCATTTCAGGACGAACGGCGTTAAAAGACCTTTAGACTCTCCCGAGGATGATTCGTTGCCTCCCCCTGAGAAAAAGCAAAAGCAGAGCAGGAAACAAGGTTCCCAGTCTCCCGATTGTGTTTCATCTCATTCGGCCAAAGATGATGGTCCTAATTTCATGCAAAACTTAAACGCAGGTTTTATCGGCTTGTTACATACTTTCCAGTACCTAAAAGTCTACGAGCTCCTGAGGGCTGCTTGTGTTTCTAGGATGTGGAACTTTGTTGCTTCCCATACTTCGCTGGTATGTATTTTTAACAGGCTCAGTTATGATATGTGGAGTTCTATATTAGAGCGTTTACTTCTTTCCATTACATTTTCATATCAAGGCAAAGAAAATAAACTTCTGCTGTTATTAAAATTTGGTCGGTTCTTTCAGTGGGAAACAGTGAGGATGAAGAACTCGAAGGTGCGTGACTGGAATGGTTTCGGGCGTACTTTATTGAAACATGGGACAAGGACTCTGGATTTGCGGAAGATGATCGTCCCAGACACAATAGAAGAGCAGGCTCACATGTGGGAAGAACTTAGCCTAGCGGTGAAGAATGTTAAAAGTTTGACAAAAGTAGACATGGGCCGTTGTAGCCCCGCTGCCCTCTCTTTGATGGCGGAAGCAGCGCCTCAGTTGAAGTCTCTTATCTCCCTTGCCATCAGGTAAGGGTCGAGTTTTTAATTATTATTATTAAAAAAAAGATTATGTTTTACCTGATGAACGCTGTGCTTATTTTCTTAACATAATGGACATGGTTTTTTTTTTGTCTTTAATATTGATGGATAAAATATAGAGAACAATCTGATAACAACTTTTTAGACTTTACTTATATGAATAAAAAAAATTCAAATTCTGTGACTAAATATGTTCAGAATTTATGCACATTAGTCTGGTAAGATAACTACGAAATGATACTTGTTAATTAACTGTCAATAGTAATTATAATTAAAGGAATATACTTTTTTTTTTTACATAGATAAGGTAGTTTGAATATGAAGTAGGTGGATGAATATTAGTCATTTAAAGGAATTTTGTAGGGAATGATGTCACTCAGCAGTAGAGCGCTGACTTGTAATGCTCAAAGTCCCTGGATTGAATCCCGGCTGATTGCAGATAAATTATTTATTCTGATTCGTCTGATTCATTATTCGTCTGATTCATACAGGAGATTCTCCTGAGGCACACCCATCCTCTATAAATTGGGTGGGTGGGTACACTTAATTAAATAATTAATTATGTGGGAAAACCTGAGTGTTAAGCGTGATCTTGGTCAAATCGACTCCTTCTACAACTGTTGATCAAGAAACAGTACTTTCTTACAATGTACTGAACCTTAGACCCTTCATGGCTTGTAGGAAATGAAAATAATTTTATTATTCTGAGACTAGTGTCCCTTTAGAACAAGTCACAAATACAGAATACATATCAATATTTTGGTGTGTCCATGAAATACTATTTAGTATTTACTGGTTGATTTGGAGTACAATAAAGTTATAAATGATGAAAAGATATAAATACGTGTAAATATAAAATATACAAAGAAATTAAGTAAGTGAACGAAATATCGATGAATTACAAAATAATCAGAGTATCTGGGTGTACTTTGAGATTTTTACAGCTTAGGTTTTTAAGTGCATTTCGTGATCAATCGGATTGGGAATGGAGTAGGTGTTCGAAGAGGATATCGATTTTGCGTGTCGAATATCTGAAGGTATAGAGTTCCAGAGGGAGACAACTTGTATTAAAAAGGATTTATCAAATGCAGCAGTTTGGTGAGGGGGAGGATAGAGGTCGGACGCACGGGATCTGATGGGACGGGATTGAAAGGAGCGTTTGAATTGTAGGATCTGTAGAATATAGGCGGAGGTCGCCGTGTTGTAATGGCTCGGTTTAGGAAGGTAGCCAGAAAATATTGACGGCGGTAGGACGGATAGTGCCACTTCAACTTGGTGTAGAACTGGGTAATATGCGTATCCCTTGAGATCCCGAAGATAAAGCGGATTGAGCAATTCATTAAACGTTTAAGTTTGGCTTCGAGTTCTCCCGAGAGTCCACCATACACCATGCAGCCATAGCCGAAGTGGGGGAAAACAAGAGAGGAGACCAGGAGTTGACGGGTTTTGAACGGAAGAAGATAACGTAGAAGGTTAAACTGTTTCAGGGTGGATATAGTACGGCGGGAGATTTGGGAGATGTGTGGTTTCCAGGAGAGGCTTTGATCGAAGGCCTAGGTTTTAACAGTGGTATGGAAGGTGATAGGTGAGTTGTTCAGAAGAAGATTAGGAGGTGTTGAAATAGATTTGAAGAGTGAGGGGGATCCGATCAGGATGGCTTTTGTCTTCTCCGTATTCAATGTCAGCTTATTAAGATTTGCCCATGCGCATATTCTATTGACGTCTTGTTGCAGTTTCAGGATAGCATTATAGGAATCTGTCGGGTTGAAGGAAAGATAAATTTGGACATCACCAGCGTATAGGTGATATTGACAGTGTATGATAGTAGTGCAGGTTTTTTAAAAGCAATTTAAAGGAATGAGGCTCAAGCTATGAAGATAACCAAACATTTCCAAAAGGAGGAATTATGAATGATAAAAGATTTGCTGAAGAGAGTAGACTTATGGGAGGGGGGGATATTTATTAAATGAATAGGTTGAATTCTAGTATTTAAGAGGAACTTAGAGAAAAGAGTTTTAGGTTGTAGGGAGGATTTTTTTGTTCTTAAGACTTGGAAAACGAAAACACCCAGGAGGAATTGTTTTCAGGAATTAATATAGAGCCATTTGAACTTGGGACTGTTGATATACCATCTACTGGAAACATGAGAATGCCTGGGAATCCCGAAGATAAATCTTAAGAAGTAATTTATAAGTCTTCATTCTCATCTGCAGTTTTCCTGACATCCCTTAAAGACATTCATAATTATTATTTGTTACTGTTCCGCATTGATTCATAACAATTTTCTTTTCCTTCCCTCACTACCAATGTTAGGGAAGCTTTATATTTGTAAGAGAGGCCAAAACAGAAAATGATTCAATAAAGCGATACCCGATGGCAAAAACTGAAAAATTGATAACATTTCCTTAAAAAGCTCTGTCAATAATCCAAATAATAAGCCCCTATTATGAAGAAATCTGACAAGCTAGTAGTTATTTTTCAGCATTGTGAATATATTCGTTGGTTATAAAAGCAATTCATCATTCTTAAAGTAATGGCTTTGGAAATAATTATGAAAAATAAAATCTGCTAGTGAAGAAAAATCAGTGGTTACTAAGAAGGTTTAACTTTAAAACCATTGTTTAATCGAAACTTAGTTTTGGTCGCTTATACCCATTGCTTCTATGGACCTCAAATGATAAGCTGCAAGCAACACTCCCTGACTGGTTTTATGTTATACCCATTAGACATGTAGGCTCCAGCTGATGTCAGGGTTTTAACAATTATATTTAAAATTACATTATAGTTTAAAAGTCCCTATCAGAACATATTATACATTATTATGTCAGATCAATTTTTAAATGAATATTAGGGGGCAGGGTGACCGAGCAGGCTGTGTGTGCACTGCACATTGTCAGCAACCTGATGAAAGATAATTTTATAAAATAATTGCGAGTTTGCGTCTAACCAGTGAGAGGGCTTTTAACTCTGGCATTAATCCTCCACTCTCATAACCCTCTGGTCCGGGAAAACCCTGTATAGCCTAAAAGGAGGGAGCGACAAGGAAAAAAAATGATGAGAAGGAGTTGATCGGGAGGTGCAGTCAAATAAATACTATTTCTATAATTTAGTATTTATTTGACCGCACCCCCTGATCAACTCCTTCTCATATTATATCACGGTCAACCATCTCTACATCATGAAAAAAAAAATGATGTATATTTTATTAGATATTAGCACGAAATTGTCACCAGTTTGCAAAAAAGAACGGAATAAAAAGTGGCTCGATATTTTTATAAGGCCTGGCAAATTAACTGTTCTTTTTCTCCCTATACATGATGGCTCATTCATTCTTATATATTTTCTGTAGCCGTTTTGTTGTAATCCATATAAGACGGTGTTAATTACTTTCGAAAAAACCTCAGGAATCAAAATCATGTTTCCATGGCTTTATAAAAACTGATGATAAACCCAAATCAATATGGATGGAGATGCTCAAAAAATTTTTATTTTCAATAATAATGTTAATTATAATGATAATAATTTAAAGGGGAATAAAGAGAATAATTTTAGTTAGGATGCATATTTTCAAAGATATATCTTACTTGCTAGATACCAACCAACCCTAAATATTTGGCAAATAATAATACAAAAATTTAAGGTTAATAATACCAAATAAAAATTTGGGTTATTTATTTCACACAATGACCTTTTGAGAAAGTTGTTTTGTTACATGCAATAAACAAACTATTTATACACGTGTTTAATGTTGATAGTAATAATGTATATGATTAATAAAATATAATGATAATTAAACAATTTTTTTTATTTTATCCGTTATTGATAAACCATGAAATCATATCAATAAAGTAGGTCTGTAAAGGTTGGGACTCAAATACTCGCAATTTGTCTGAGCCACACCTAAAGTACCTAATTGATAAAACTAAACATATGCTTAGGTTAGGTTAGGTTAGAACGAACAACGCAGGTTAACAAGCTACTCTACTGCCATGTTTGGTTTTATCGAGAAGTTACCTTTCATAAAACGATGGTGCAGCTCGGGCATGTGTGTCCTAACCTCAATTATGATAATATTTTACTCCTAGTTTAGCGTCTCCGTAATTTAAATTTTAAATTTTGTTAATTTAATATTAAAAATGTATTCGTGTGTATAATTTTTATTTACATTCTTTGCAATGGTTTCTAGTATTGTTTTACCACCTCTTCCTTCTCTAAGTGCCCTAATCCTGTCGGGCATCAGTGAAATAAGAAATTCGGCTTCTATGTTCGCCTGGGTGCCCCCTCCAAGGTTAAATACTGTATTTTTTCTATTAGAATAACTAAAATTATTAATTAATTTTTTCAATATATTTTTCGTTTTGATTTTTTATATTCTTTTAAAATAATGTAGCTGTGTTTTATTCAATAAATATATTTAAAAATTCATCTTATATCTGTTTCTTTTAGTAAAAAGAGAAATTTGTTGGTATTTTTTATCAATAAATTGACTTAGTGAAGTGGATCTCACAGATCTGTAAGGCTAATGTCCTTTGAAATATTAAAAAAAGGAAACTCAAATTTCTAGACTATGGTAAAATTAAAGAAGAAAAAATTATGAAAACTGATTAAAGATAAAAAAAAAATTTTATTTGCACAGAAATACATTGTTCAGCACTTAAACTTGTTACCGCGACTAGATCTCCTTAATAAGCAACCTCTAGAAGTTTCTGTTTACTCTCTAGTCACGTAGTTAATTCAACAAAGCTTTTTTTACGATGAATGACTTCCTTTAGTTATTTCCTTAAGATCTACTTCAGCACATCAACAGCTCATTTTTTTGGGGGGGGGCGAGGGGGCGGTGTGGCCGAATGGGCTAACGCGTGTACACTGTGAGTTGCCCGGCAACCAGATAACCGAAGTTATGAGAGATTATAAAAAGTACGAGTTCGCGTCTCGGTCCGGGGAAGGGATTTTAAATTCACAGCCCTCATCCCCTGCCCCGGTAAAACCCTGTATAGCCTATAAGGCGAGGTAGGGGAAGAACAAAAAGAAAAAAAAAAAGTTCGAAGAAATAGATATGAAGATGCATTTTCTGCTTAGGCATAAGGGGAATCTTTTTGGATATAATTTTCTTAATTTTTTCCTGTTTCATGCCTTCTCGATTATTAATGCTAAGTACCATTTATGTTGAGAAATTTATTGTTTTGATCTAATTCAAAATTTCTTGGATCGAATCTGATAATAGATCAAACATTCCATTTTACAGGAAAATATTTCAGAAAAAATAAAATCCCTTTATCCGTATTTAGGCAAATATGATAAAAACTCTTATATTTCTTTATTTACAAATTATAGATGGTTAATTATAAAACAATTTATCATTTATAGTTTATATAGTTCAAATGGTAGCTATTTATACAAGAACTCCACATAATTTCCTGCATGCTGATATATTATCGAAAATTTGATTTTAATAATTACAATCTCAGTATTTTTTTTTTTTTTTTATAATTTTCATCATTGAGCCATTGATATCTATATATATATTAAATATGTATAATTTTGCACGCAGCTGGAAAGAAAGAAATTCTTCAGGATCTCAACGTAGAAGGTAATAAGGAGGTATTTTGGATTACAATAAAAAAAGTTGGAGGGATATTAAATTTTTATAATTTCATTATTACGCGGAATTTTATTATTTAAAAAAGTGAAGAAACAATCAATTTTGAAATTACTAAATAGAAAAATGATCTATTAAGCACTAGCACTACCAATTATTACTTGAATCTACAAATTATTTACATTTTTTAAACAGTGTTGTTTTTGCTTAACTTTGATTAGGTAGAATGATATGTTTATCTCTCAATTTAAGAGATCTAGTATGTATTTTAAGAGTTTAAACCTTTTATATTGTTTTATAGTGAACAATTTTTATTAAAACTATCACTAACATAATTTGAATACATCAGTTATTGATTTATTAAGATGAGTGATTTTATTATTAATATTTCTGAAATGAAACAAGTAAAATATTTTTTTTACTCTAGAAAAAGTTAATTATAGTTAACCATGCCAATAAACTTCAACTGTTTTATTTTATTATTATTATTTTTTTAAGTTAATATAATACATGTCAATTTTATATTAATGAATCACTGTTTGACCAATAAAATCCCTCCAGTATCATTAAACAATAAAAATAAAAAAACTGAATAAATCAAACCTGAATTTTTTTGTTTTAGTACTTATTATTTTGTTATTGCAGGGCTAATGAGCTTGACTTGGCACCCTTTACAAAGTTAACGAACCTCACAGAACTCAAACTGAAGGCTGCCCAGAATGGTATCGAAATTAAAAACTTCGAATGCCTGAAGGAACTAAAAAATCTAACTTCACTGGTATGTAATTCAATTGTATAGAAAATCGTTAAAACTTATTATTATATTTAATCAATATATGATTCATTTTGATTAATACCAAAAGTCCTCTTAATCTCACAACCTTTTATTTTACACTTGGAACATTTTTCTATACACTCTAGAATTATTATTTAACGTTTCGCCACCAAGAGCTGTTTTAAAAAAATATATTTCTCTTTCAAAATCAAAACAATCACAAAAAAAAGTTTTCTAAAAAATTTTTAAATTAGGTATGTACATAGAATATATATAATCCGTTTTACTGCATTCTATATAGTGGAAACTCAAATTCATTAATTTACGATTGTTCCTTTCCTTTTCAAACTTTCAAAGATGTATATCCTTCTCTGCCTTAAATGACAAATATCCTATTAGTGTGTTATATTAACTCCCAATCCCTTTCCGCTCACTTTGATGAATTCCAAGATTATTTCCTTTTTTATCATATTATTGCATCATAGTTTTGAAAACCTGGCTCAAACCTAATATTCCGTCTTCCTCTTTATTCATTCCTAACTATGGCCTCATTCGTCATGCCTGAACAGGTGGTGGTGTTGTTTTTCAGGTTCATAAGAGTCTGAGGGCAAAAATCCTGTACGAATCTCCCTCTCCCGACTTTTCTCACTTACTTATTTGTAGAAATTTCATCAAATTCCTTTTCCCTCCTTTACGTTATTACATGTCGCCCGCCCCATGTCAGATTTGGTCCTGCTTTCGAATCCTCGTTTTTTACCTTAACATTATTCATCCTTATTTTTTATTCTTTTTCAACCACCTTCAATCTTTACAAAGCTGTAGTCTAGACTCTTTTGATTTTGAAAGGGGAAAATATTTTTGTTAAGTGGATCTTTGAGCCAAAATGTTGAATAATAATTTTTTTTTCTTACACCTCTCGACTTCGACTTTCATCAAGAGTCTTCTTTTAGCAGCTTAAATAATAATTCTGGAATGTTCATAAAATGTTATTAAATTTAAAGCGGTTTTAGTACAAAATTAATCATATATTGATTAAATATAATAATTATTTAAAAATTTTACAAAAAAATGAATATTCTAAATAATAAGGTTATTTATCATAATTAAAAATAATTTTTAGTTGAATTGTAGCACATTATATATCAGCAGTTTATCTCTGGACAATTCATTCAGATAATGTAAAAGATAGCTGAAAATAAAAAATACTATTTTTAATTTGCTGCATTTTTTTTTTTTACATTATCTGAATTAGTCATCCAGGACATCAAATCATTTATATGAATGTTCTAGTCTAAAAGAAATATGACAATACTGATTGACACAATTGGCAAAACTTAATTGGGCTGCAAGAGGTCTTATGGTGAAAGACTCATGACTAGAGACTGGATTTTCATGCTATTGCACATTTTGTTCGCTTGTGATATAAATATAAAATTCATGGAGATATAAGTGAACTATTTGAATATGTTAATTCATTTATAGTTATATTAATATCAATATTGTTTTATTTAATCTCTTCATTTAGCGGAAGAAAAAAAAAAAAAATGACACTGTAGGTAGCACTGCTACTTTTGGAAATAATAAACTTGTTTGTTATAAAACGTATTTATTTTGTTCTATTGATATTCTTTTTTAAATATTATAAACAGTGATCTACTTGAAATTCATATTCACTAATTAAACTAAAACAAAATCCTTGGTGCCCACCACCTAACACAATCTATACATGTGCCCAGAACTGAAAACATAAATTTGACATATGCATGGTTGCCTTTCGATCAGGCATGAAGAAAGTTATCCAGCTAACTAACTAATCCATTTTAATAAAAAAATGGGGTTAGTCTGTGCCAGGATTAATATGGCAAAGTATTATGTTATTTTATGCATTTTTTTTATTATAAATAATTAAAGCATGATATATATATTTTTTCTTTAGGCACTGACGACAGTAAAGAACCTCGATGGCATTGAGGAATACCTACCTACTGGACTGGTATCGCTAGAGCTGGGCGAGTGCAGCACCCTGTCTCCCGAAATGGCGACGCAGACCCTACCTAAGTTGACCAACCTGGTTAGGCTGAGGTTGGAAAAGGGCCAGAACGACTGCCCAACTATAGCCCTCCTCAACGCTATCGCTGGCCTGCCCAATCTTGTACAGCTTGAGCTGATTAACTTTGATGTTAAGCCTGGCTTCGATAAGGCATTGGCGAAATGTACAAACATACAAACGCTCCTTATCATCCCTACCTACGTAACCCAGGTAATTAACCTATGTATAACTTAGTTGTTGAATGTGTTATGGTCAGCTCTAGTTTTATATACAGCATCTCTATTAACTATTTTAAGTGAGTGGTATTTAAAAAAAAAGAAAAAAGTTTAATACTAGGTTTCGGTGGATGCATGATCTATCAACTCTTCCTATGGATTACTAGGTTTTTATTCTCTTTACTTTAACTATTTTTTATTCATATTTTTTTTTACAGTATAATAACTGCTGCACCATGGTCTTTGAGTAATAAAAATGTACTGTACATACTCAACTTAAAATTAATTGCTAAGATAGAATGATATCTTCATACTTTTGGAAGCAAGCCACTTGATAAACTTTTTAATAAATGTGAAAATGTTGTTTTGTAAATGGAAAAAAATAGGCAAGAGGTTAGGGGGGAGAAGAATATGATAAAGTTGAAAATTATTTATTTGAAACTTTATTACTGTGCTCTTTAAATATTTATGCAAAATATGAGACTGGTCATTTTATAGTTATTATTTTAAATTATATTTTATAGATTAACTAAAGTTTAAAAAAATAAGGGTAATTACAATGTGGATATTATTATACTGGATACTGGTGGTGTGGCAGGCATCATATGGTTACACTGTTCGTGGAATGCCGAAGATTGTCATTAATCAAAATTTAAATCATTAAGTACTTCAATGAATTTCTCTCTGTGAAATCAGAAAATTGTTTACTTATGTTAACTATGCTTGATGTATTAAAGGATTTATCTCATTTTGATTCACTTAACAGTGAGTGTTCATGCATTATTTTAAAGATCCAAATTCTCAAAAATATACTAAACAATTTAGCTACATCAAAAATGTACTGAGTATCCTTTTGCAATTAACAGACCAAAAAAATTGTTCTCCATATGTAAATACAAGTTAATTATTTATGTAACCAAATGTAAAAAAAATTAGTTAAAATCGGTTGGGAGTGTAGTAATAGGATGAAAGTTTACGGAAAGAATTATGTATATACATAAAAATATATTTATATAAAGCAACTGTTTTGTATCATATTACAGTAAGGCACGTCTAGACAACACTTCATAACATATAATTTGAAATATTTTGTACAGTATTTTAAAATTACCTTCAATATGTTAATGAAATGAATATGGCATTATTATAAAACATCATATTTGAGGTGTTTGGTTTAAAAACCTGTTCATCCATTTTTAAAAAATATTTCAATAGTGATCAAAAAAGATTTCATTACAAAGAATTCAATTTTAACTGTTGTAATTATTATTACTAGGAAGCCCGTGCGAAAAATTCGCACAGCATATTGTTAAGTGATCAAATGCCAAATTAATAAGAAAATAAAATAATGCACGTATTATAAGATAAAGAAATCCATTGTTACTTTATTGATCAATATAATCGACCAATCTTCAAAGCCCAATTTGTTTCGTATCAATCTACAGACTTACCCCCCCATTCCAGTATTGAAGCCTAGCAAAATGTTTGTATCAACTTTATTTATTTTAGAAAGAAAAACAAAAGTGGAGAATACGATTCCCTAACCCCCGTGAAATTCTGAATCCAATGGTACCCCATTCGTGGTATTTAAACATGACATGAGCTTATATTTGGTACAAAACCGATTTCGAGTCTAACTGTAATATTTGGTAACTAATCACTTAAACAAAATTTATTGACAACTTTTGATTATCTTCTCTTTTTACTAAATCCCATTTAAAATGAAAAATATGTTAGATGTACCTGTATTTGATCAAAAAATATTGATTTATGGTTAGTTTGTGTTTCCGTAAAAAAAAAAAAAATAAATAAAAAAAATAAAATCACTTTTTGTAAATTTCAAAATTATTTTAGAAGGGGTTCATGACATAATAGCTGAGGAGGTGTAATATATAGCCAAAGGTTTTAATTATAATAATACTTTATTTATTCTGGGACAAGTCTCTGTAGAATAATACAGAAATTCGGGCTAAAACACAAAGTAAATAAATAAAGTAAATGCAGTGCACGCATCACAAAACTTTCACTTACCACAGTCTTAGCAGAAATAATAAACCTGATATATGACAAATGTTATAAAAATAGTCATGAGTTTGCGTCCCCGTGCCAAGGCGTCTTTTAAATCCCCGCCCACACCCACTGGCCCTGGAAAACCCCGTATAGCCTTAACGGTGAGAAAGAGAAGGACAAAAAAAAACAACAGAATTTTAGGGATTTTTAACTCAATTTTTTTTTTAGTTGGGAGAACTATATTCATTTCTTTATTATACATTGTATCTCATCAACTGATTCACAATTGGTCTTTTTCTGTGTGCAAACTTAATTTTTTTCTTTTTATACCATGAAACTGGTATGTAATCTTCATCTCAAAATGGTTTCATTTTGTTGTTTCAATCTTAATGCCTATTACTAATTTTGCCGCAACTAATTGGGACTCTTTTAGGGATACTTAGACGTTGATTTATTTTCTTATTAATAGAAAGTATAATATTCAATATTAATTTTCACTTAGTCTCATAAAGTATTTTTCTATTGATGATTCATTTACTTGTATGGTAAGTTATTATTAGAAAATATTGTACTGAAGTTGCTATTTGAAGCTGATCGTATTTTATAGGTGGTATTGTATATTTAAATTTTTTTTAAGAAATCATATTCTTGAAATTATAACAGCTGTTGTCTAGAATAATTATTACTGAATAAAAAAAAAAGAATATTTATATTTTTTGCTGTTACATTACATTTTTTTTTGTCTTTATTTTATTTGAAACAGAGGTGATGGCCTTCTAAGACAGTAACAATACAATTAAATTAATTTATTATAAAGAAGTTGCTAATTTGGTTAATTGGACTGTTAACAGTGAAAAAGAAAAGAAACGGATACAATTTTGAGCATGTTACTTTTGCTTTGAATGTTCTCGTCTTATTTTTGTATTAAATGTTGTGTATAAATTGTTTATAACTAATGATGCTTGTAAACAGCACAACCCTGCATGCTATTACTCACATTTTCTTCTTTGTGTCTGCATGTGGTTGCATGATCAAAGTTTTTGTATTTTATTTTATATATTTATTTTTGTATTTTAGAAGACATTCCAAATTTTTATATCTTAGTTATTACTAAATAATAAATAGTTTTTAGTCAGCCAACACAGACTGGTTCCAATAAATAGATATATGAGTTATTGGGTTCTTCAAATAATTAACTAGTTTTACGTGGAAAACACCTTTATATATATAAAAGTTCATCTAACACATTGCTATTTTTTATACAAATTTTTATTAGTTGTTAAATTCTTTCGCAGACAAACATTTTTAGCCCATTAAATATGGTGGTCACATTGCTATGGATCTGAGTCTATAATGTCGTATTTCCTTAGGAATTAATTCTGATTATTCTTTTTAATAATTTAAATTCTATAAGTACTATCTATCTATCATGTGAATTTGTATAATCTCACTTTACTGCAAAAGATCATTAAATTACATTTTCAGAAGATAATTACTTACAAATTAAAATTTCAATTATTATATTTCACAAGTTCAATTTTGTAACTACTACAATCTTTTAAGTAAATTCGTATATTGTTAAGTAATTGTAGAATGTCATTCGGTAACATTCTAAAAGATAAAATCACTGGGTAATTTAATTCTCTATGAAACAAAACATTATGTAACTATTTTTGACACATAATAAAGTTGGTATTATTTCTTAAAAATATGTGTTTTAAAGTTTAGCTTTATCAAAAGCGATAAATTGCTATTATGTTTTATTTGAGGTAAAAAAAGAAATAAAAGACAAATACTAGTTACACATGGATCGTATATTTTTACATAATTTAATAATATATATAAAAATATTATCAGCTAAATAGGGTTATTCTTCTGCTTGTTGTTCCGTGGCAGTATAACTCATGCCGACTCTTGGTCTCCTGCAAAATAGTGTTAATGTTATTTATTTCGTGATATGAACCTTAGGATCAAAAAATTGTTTGTGAGATAGATATAGCGTCTCCGATTTTTTAAAATTCTTTTAATGCCTCATAAAATCGGAAATCATTATTTATTCTTTTAAAATCATATGATATTAGAAAGGAATTAATTAGTTTAATAAATTAATTTATTAAGCTATAATTTACGCTTTTTATTACTCAGTTTGTATACCTATAAAATAAAGAAAAATGACTTCATTTCCACAGCTGTGTTGTGTTGATTACTTATTGTTTTGTTTTTTTTTAATTTAGAAATTACCTGTGATTTTTTAAGATACAAAATATAAATCCTTTGTTAAAAAAAAAAAAAAAAAAGATAAATTTATATATAATTGTGAAATTGGACCAAGCTAACATTTTTTTATATTTGATAGCATGTGATGGAAAATGTGTTAATCAAAATAATGGGTGAGATTTACGTTTCTACTTGTCTTGGAAATACCTTTAATAAAAATATTTGTTATGTGTTTCAATAATATAAATTATGACTTCATAACAAATATAAATATTAGTTGTTTTAATTTAAATGTACATATCAATCAAAAGTTTTAAATGTGAGTCAAGTATATAAGTCTTACTGGTCACCGTATTTTTTTTTTTCTTTTATTTTTATTATGGTTTTAATTTTGAAATTATAGTATTTTATTAAAATATTCTGTGTGAAAATAAAACTTTTTTTTTTCTCTGTAATCAAAATTGTATATTAAGACAGTAGAAAAAAAAGAAAAAGATTAATATTACTAACTGTGATACATACTGCTTGTTGCTGCTGAATTAACACTGTTTAAAAAAAAACAAATGTTTTTTCTTTAAATTTACCTTCCTTTCTTTCTTTTTTTCTGTTTACAGTCAGCAACTACAAACCATGTAGTTATGGGTGGCGTGGCCAAGTTAAGCCACTCGCTGAATTATTTTATCTGGGGGCTTACATTGGAGCTCCTCAAAGTTACAGATCTTTTTATAGGTAACGTAATTTTAAAATTGTACCTTAGTTTTTTTTTTTTCATATATTTTTTCCAAACAAAATTTATGATGGTGTATTCCTGAAAGTACTAATTAATATTTGTTATCAACATGTTTTGTATTTAATTTTAATTCATTATTTTATATGACCTTTAAAATAATGTGTGCTATATTCTTCAGAAGAAAGGTAAAAAAAAAAAATATTGGCTATACTTCAGATTTTACCACGTCGTTCTGGTACATATATAATGCTTTTGTCCAATGTTTTGAGTAGCCATAATCCTGTTAAAAAAACATCCATCTTTACTAGGATCACTTAGAGAATTGTCAATCCTTCATGGAATGAATGAAAACCGCATTGTATTGTAAACTTAATTTGAAGCTATAGTTGCAAGAAGGGCACATATATGTAAGTGAGTTTTGATATATCAGCTGTATTAAGTTTTGGACTCAATTAATTTCTATGATATCCAACGACTCCTTCAAGAATTTCATTATGCTAGTCTAAAGGTCTCCAAACTACTGTCTGCAGCCCAGATCCTGATATTTAAAAATTATTAAACACTCAAACACGAGGTTATCACATTTATTTATTTGTACAAGTTGTTTCTATTAGGAAGCTCGCATATCACAACTGAAGTGTCATTTATAGATCAAACTATTTTATTTTTATAACAGTCCATGGCCTGTGAGACTTCAGTGGAGGTCCCAATGCGGCCCGTGAGAATTTAATGTCATTGACATCGAGGTCTCAATGTCCAAAAAGTTAGGAAAACCTTGTGCTTGCCCGCTTTTCCTAAATCAGAACTGAAAATTTATAGCAAAGATCATATTGTTCAAATTTATTTTAAGAAGAATCTTAACTATTTATATACCCTTTTTATGGATAGTATTATTTCCTATAGTCTTTCTTGCAATTAACATTTATTATAGTATTCAAACATAGATATCAATTAATATTCAAAATAATTAAATAAAAAAATGATACCTTATGTCCTTTTTTAAAAATTAAAATTAAGTATATTAATAAATATAAGCTTTAGTTGATTAATTTATGTTTACATTTTGATATAAAAAAAAAATATATATATTGAATACTAGATGGTTGATCGTTGTATATTTAGTGAAAAAACATTTTATTTCAAGCCAATGTTTTGACCCAACTTCGCAGGTTTTCTTAAGGGCTAGAACGAACAAGGTACAAAACGCAATATACAAAAATGCGGAATATTTAGATAAAAATTATAAACAGTGTTAATAGAAAGTATAATATTAAGAACAATAATTTTCCCCCACGACTTGGCAGTTTCAAGCGAAACTCCATGCTGCACATACACATAAGTTTCTATGAAATAATAATTTTATTCTGGAACTACAATCCTCTAAAAATAATAACAGAGTTACAAATTTATGGATCTTAGCCTGGCTTAGAATAATAAAAAATACAAACTAATTAACTGTTAATGGTTATTGCAATTGTGCAATAGATTGAAATTAAACAGTTTACAGATGCAAGTAATTTTAAATGTTTGCGGAAGTTTAAATGTGAAGTAGGTGGTGGAACAGGAATTGTTTAAAGGAATTTGTGGACGAGGATTGACTTATGGCGGTAAGAGGAGAGTTTCAAAAGGAGGTAGCATGATGAAGGAAGTAGTTTTATGGGAGGCGATACATAAATCTAAAGGTTGGGACCTGGTATTGAGAGTGTATAGAGGAACGTAGAGTAAGGAGTTCCAGGATGTAGGGAGGGTTTTTGGTTCTGAGGAAAAGGAAAACACCAAGGAGGAATTGTCATTGGGAAGTAGGATAAAGCCACTTCAACTCGGTGTACCTGAAAGAAACAGTTTATGAGTTTCTTAATTTTCATTTCTAGCCTGGCAGATAGCCTTCCATACACCAAATAGCTGTAGTGGAAGTGGGGAAATATAAGGGAGGTTACAAATGAGCTCTCTAGTTGTTAGAGGAATACAATCACAGAATCTTAGGGGATGTTTAAGGACAATTATGGATTTTCAGGTAATCTTGGAGATATGATTATTCTAGGAGAGGTTCTGGTTAAAGGTTAATCCTACGTTTTTGACTGTAGGGAAAAAATGGATGGGACGGTCATTGAATTAAAGTAGAGGAAAGTAAGGAAGGGAGCTAATGAGATGTCTGGATTCAATGAGAATAGCCTTAGTTTTATGTGCATTCAGCTTTAATTAATTTATTTCTACACATCTGTTGGTACAATTTCTCAAAAATTGTTTTACGATAATTAAATTTTAAGTTCGTCATTGTAAAGTAGAAAAATTGTTTTTGAGAAAACAGTGGTTAAACTTACTAAGGTCAATGATCAAAGGGACTTTCAGGAGGTCTAATACGGATGCTTTACTGCTGTACTTATAGTATCTATACCCGAGGAAGCATATCTCTGTAATCCCAATTCGTGAAATAATTTGGTATAATGCTTTACGTTATTAGATCTCCTGAAAGTCTCTTTCATCATTGACCTTAGTAAATATAATTAATGTTTTCTCAAAGAAAATTTTGTCTACTTTACGATGGTGTACTTAAAAAATATATATCTTGTACAATTTTTAAGCAACGTGAAAACCTTCAGAAAAACTCAAAATTGTTCTCAACTCCTTTTTCATTATAATTAACCCTCAGAGTTTGGTCATTAAGAACTGTAACATCCTGTATACATTAATGCAAACAAAAACCAATAAAAACTTGTAATGATTATGGTGTAATTGAAAGGTTCCAAATACTGTGTCATTGAACCTCTAAAACCCTGGTAAACATTCAACTCTTCAACTTATCACCATACTGTCACAAGTGACAGTGGCAAGTTTACAAGGGTTGAATCTATAGAACTTTCGGGCAGAAGCTCCCTCAAAATAAAGAAAAATAATTTTTTCTTTTCCTTTGTTCTTATTTGTTTATGTGGGCTAAATACTTAAACAATCACAATATATCGACAGACACTGCCAATGCCTGTAAGGACAATTTCTTTGGAAAATGAGGTTTTGAGGTATTCTGGCCAATCTTGTCCCGGTGCATATTCTGAATCCAATCAAATGTTTCACAAATTTTCATTTGAAGTATCGTTTCTCTACATTTTGGAAACTGACTTTGTTCCTGTCAAAATTTGTTCATTATTAATACAAAGTTATTGGTGTTACTTGAATAAATTCGGTGGCTTTTACTTAACTAATATCTGTTTTTCAAAGTAACTAAAAAGCTTGAAGTAGCAATGGATCTAATTATTTGACAAAAATACGATACAAAAATTTACATTGAGCATTATATCTTTGTCTTAGGCCCGCAAAAAAAAAAAAAAAAAAAAATTGAACCGAAAAAATAATGCAGTTTTTTTTCGTCTCCTTCAAATTTTTAGTTTTTGTTCTTCAGGCTTTTGCAGTTCAGCTGTTGATATTCTCTTTTTATATTGCAATGCTTATCTTATCCAGCTACTAAATGTATGTTTCAAGAAAAAATATAAGTAATTTGTCACTATAAAGATTATTGTTCCACTATTTTTTCTATATAGTTATAAATTTTTTGTCTTCCAGATTAATTATTGTTATTTAAAAATACAAATAAATAAAAAGAAAAGCTTCCCCAAAATTAGTGGTGAGAAAGAGTGTGTTTGAAAGTCTTGGTGTGTGTACTGTCTCTTTTTTTGGTCCATTGATGGGAAATTTGCAGTATTTGGTGTGCATGTATGTGATATTGGTTATTTTTGTCCTATTGATGCCTCAATTGATGATACGTGGACCAGTTAACTATTTACATATATTCTAGAGACTCGAGACATTGACTAGTCATCTTCTAATTATATCATAAGATAAAGATGTTTTTTATCCTTTGAAGAGTAATTTATCAGGGGATTGTCTATTGGACCCAGAAAATTCAGGAAGTGTTTATTAACTAGGCTAGGAGTTGCAAACACCCAATTTATGGTTAATATTGGTCACAAAAAGTTTACATAAAAATAATTAATACACAAATACCTATTTCTGCCATAAATACTGTTATAAAAGTTGAACTCTATTTACATCCTTGGATATTATTTAGATAATCCTTACCTCTATCAGGTTATTCTCTTTACAGGTCAGGATAATAATCCAAATTAGTTTGTCTTCTTTTGCTCAGTTAAAATGGACTGGGATGATAAAGAAAACCGAATAACTGTGATGGCCTTACACAAATTTGGAAAATGTAGGTCAGAGATTTTCAAGACTAAAACCTTTGGGTATCAGCTGTATATTCGTGTCCATGCACTGTGAGAATGGCCAATGCAGTGAGAGCAGTGGCTGCTCGAATCAGAATAAATCCCATTCGAAAACAACAAATCATGTCTCGGGAAATAGGAATTACTGTCAGATGAATGTCTTGCATAATAAAAAGTGGCCTTAGGATGGATGCATTTCGAAGAATGGCAGGACAAAGGCTACCCACTTCCCTAAAAAACAGAGTGGGTATATGCTTAAGTGCTCCTTGACCGTTACACTAACGGTCTTTATCAAATGTGTTTTTTTAGCGATGAGAAATTTTTTACAATTGAACAAAAATTTAATTGCCAAAATGATTGTGTGTACGCACACAGCTCTAAAGGCCAGGAAGTCATTGGAAGAGTGGAAAGAGGTCATCATCTTTCCTCATTGATGGTTTGGTGCGGAGTTTGCTTTGATGGCACCACAAAGCTCCATTTTTGTGAAAAAGGAGTTATAACAGCCAGTAAAAACTATCAGGACTATATTTTGGAGCCTGTTGTCAAGCCTCTAAATGATACTCTGTTTGCTGGAAGTCATTGGGCTTTCCAGCAGGATTCCGCTCCAGCTCACAAGGCCAGGTCAACTCAGCAGTGGCTGCAAAAGAACATTCCAGAGTTCATCTTTGTCTTGCATTGACCCTCAGGGAACCCAGATTTCAACCCACTAGATTTATCTGCTTTGGTCTGAACTGGAGAGGATGCCATGCCACAGAGCACACCCTAACTTAGAAAGCCTCGAACAATCTTTGGTCGAGCAGTTGAGCACTTTCCTCAAGAAGTGCTGTGTGTTGCTATTGATGACTGGCCTTGGAGATTATTTAATGCCTGTGTCAAGGCAAAAAAGGAACATTTTGAATAATTTCTTTTTTTTTTTTACTCTCTATAGATATACATTTTATTTTCTAATTAAGTTTTTGAAAAATTAATTTTTCTGTTGAAATCTGTATATATTTCCTTGTAACAATATTTATGGCAGGACTAGGTATGTAGCCTAGGGCAGACATTATGGTGTGTTTATTGATTTTTTTACATTAAACATTTATTTTATTTTTATGTTCTTAAAACTATTAATTAAGAACCATTTACATACCATTAAAGACAATTTATTGAGATTGTTGTTGACAGAATTTTTGATGATTTTTTTTTATAAAGTTAAATTTTATAAAACATATAACTTTTTTGTCAAATCTCTAGTATTGTGGATGTCTAGTAGTGTTTAAAATGTTGTTAAATATTGTACTTTTCGCTTAATGGGAATTGATTCAGGAGCCAAACATGTTTTCTTTTTACCTTTCTTCAGGACAAAAGAGAAGATATAATAGGTTGTTACAAAAGTCCTTGAACATGAACTCAATTATTAATCCTATAAGAATGTTTTTGTTGCTACTATTTATGCCAATGTTTACTTAGACATTAATTCCTAGTGAGTTGAGTTGGTTTTATTATTATTAAATTTACATTTTGAAAACGTATGTGCTGCAATGTCAGAAGAAAAGTAGTGATTGGTGGTGGTCTTTTGGGACCTTACTGGAGAAAAGGTCTGAGGTCAAAGGCATCCACTGAAGAAATTAGTCCCATAGAAGGAGAATCAGTTGTCCATCGAAATACTGCCACACTTTGGTTCGAGCATTTCAACAGCGGGAATATGAACCATGCAGATTAACCCAGGTCAGGTCGCATAACTGTCATTGATAAAGATGATCTTGTATGTAACCAGGTGTAAACCAGGATCCACATGAAACTACTCATGATTTATCTGCTGTAGTAGGGGCTTCTAACGAAACAGCGAATCTTAAGTTCTTTATTTTAAAAACAGAATTTGAGACCAAGGTCCGACCCACATGACATGACAGAATTCCAAGTCCGAGGTCTTGATGGCTAAGCGTGTTAAACTGTTGCTCGTTTTGGCATTCTCATGCCTAGCGACATTGGTTCGAATCCGGCCTGGGAGGAGTTGACTTCTACTTCATGGCGGACCCACGTAATGGAACTCTACTCTCCCACACTGGTTACAAAAGGTTTGGTTGTACCTCTTAAAAGAACTCACCTCCCTCCCACCTATGCCAGAAATGGTGGGTAGATGAATAATCCAATAAAAAAAAAAAAACAATGGCCAAGTCCAACAGTGAGTTGATATTAGCAAAATTTTGCTTAAAAATCTGACAGAAAGCAGGTTCTGCAAAGAAATTATTACAAGTGACGAAAAGTAGATATTTTTAGAAAACGCAAGCAAGCATAAGCATTCTTATCCTGCATTTAGCCCAGATATTGCACCATTAGATTATAGTTTGTTTAGTTCAATGGCTCATTTTTTAAAAGCATGCACAAGAACATTTGTAACAACCTAGTGTATAATGGGGACAAGATGTATAGAGTTTAAGAAAAAGCAAGTTCCACATCATGAGTGCTAAAATAAATTTTGTATAAATGTATGTACAATTTAAGTTCATGAAACTATTTCACTTTTTTTTTATTAAATGTCAGTCTGTCTTATAAAGACCTAATGATCTTTTTTAAGAAACAGAAATGAAACTTTTTTAAAATTTTGTATTCTATTGTCTTAGTCAATCGTAATGAATTAAAGTCTATTGAAAGTTACAGGTTAAATATATGCTTTTTAATTCTGAATATTTCTGTAAGCATTTGATTATATTAAAAATAATCTGATTGTTTTAGGACAAGTCGAAAACCAAAAAGGAAACAAACCAATAGTACCGAAGAAGGGGAGTGGAGACAGCATCCCCATTTTGAAGCCTGCGACCGACGGAGAACCAAAGGAGGGAGGTCAGCCTTCGCAAGTCGATATACTTGCACTTCCCAATCTTCAGAGGGTACTCACAACTCTTCTACCGCAAACAAAAATAAAGATACTTAAAGTACCTTTTTCTGCCACATGGAGACAAACTGTCACAGATGCATAGGATGAAACGAAGGACTCAATAATGTGGCATTAGAACTATTTTTTTGAAATTAGAATTATTTTCCAAACACGTGACAAAAAACAAAAAAAAAAATGAAATAGAAAAAAAGTGAAACTGCATGTTAAGCGAGAGAATATTGTCGGTTGTTCAAGATAGCAATGTTTTACATTTTTAATAATTTTTTTTTAATCGCGTAATTCTGTTAGGTGGTCTATTTTGTTTTCATTTTTCAAATCTAGCATGTATTTATAATTTTACTATAATTTTTTTTTTTTTTGTAATGATGCTGCAAATGTGATGTCTCAGATCCCATTAAAATCAGTTTTATCAAACTGTTCTATTTTTTAATGATTCAATAAACAAATTGTGTATTTTATGTGTATAAACTGATAAATATTGCATGCGGAATTTTTCTCGATGAAGATTGGGGGGGGGGGGAGTACCGGGAAAAGAAGGAACTATGTGATGAATGTGACATGTGAACATTTTTATTAAATTTGTAAAAATTTTAGTCTGGACATAGGCCTTTTTTCTTTTTACGGCGGGGAGAAATTCTTTTCTCTTTAATGTTTCTTTTTATTAAGTACTTTGTAATTAATATATTTTGTTTCTTGAAATTATATTTATATATAAATAGACAGTGAGAGTATAAAGTATCCATAATAACACTAATATTGTTTCCTATCATTGTTTTTAAGTTAAATCTTCCAGATTCAGTTTTAGTTGGATAATTGTAAAAGTAGTTTATATTTGATTGTGTATAATTTTTAATAATAATAATAATAAAAAAAAAGAACAAAAGAAGGTGATGATTTATTTAGCTATCTAAATACCCTCTGGAAAAAGAAACGTAGAAGAGTAAATTTATTTCTATGTATGTTGTTGTGACACTAGTAACATTTTAAATGCAATAATAACTGGGTATGTATATTATTATATTTATATATATTTATATATATGAATATATTTTCAATTTTTGTATATGACTGGTCTATTTATGAATATATTTAGATAATAGTCTTGTAATGTATAATGTTAATAAAGTTTTTACTTAAAAATGAATATGAAGTAATTATGGAAGTTTATGGTTCTGATTTAAAACTGATTGAAAAATAAATAAAAAAGATGTTTTTGTAAAAAAAAAAAAAAAATGAATAAATAAAAAAAAATTTTAATAAAGTCGTGTATAAAAAGTATTGTACAGAATATCATGTTTATTTATTTTTAGCAATTGTTGACATTACCATTTAAAGAAATACTTAATTGATATTATATTCCTTGATAATAGTACCTCGTATTAAAATATATAATTTTTTTTTTTTGTAAGTTACATTAATCATTTTAAAAAAATATTTCCACCTTTATCTTTTTTCTTCCTCTCCTTTTCAATTGCCTGTAGCTCTGTTGATAAGTAATTCTGTTCAATTGATTCAACAGATTTTTTTATTATTTGAATCTGAAAAAGAAAGAAGCTATAATTATTAAAATAAATGTAATAAAATTCTCTAATGATTTTTTCTTTTTAAAAATGTTTTTTAATGAAGAATGAAGACCAAAAAAGAAAATGTTGATATGCTGGTTATTCATCTGGAAGTGTAAGATATTTTTATGTTTTATTTTTAGGTGTACCGCTCACTAGTTATGAATGCATGACCATTACCCAACAACCTCTAAAACAAAATGGAAACAATTGGTACTTGTTTAAGGTTTTTTTTTTTTTTCAAATTTGAGTTGCAATAGAATTCAAGTGATAAAGAATGTATTGACTGAATAGTCCGTGGTACAGACCCCTTTTTACTGAATTATTAACATCTCGCTGAAACTTCGTAAATAGTTTTATCTCATCGTAACCTACAACTATTTTATTTATAAAAACTCGGAATTGGGGAGTTTTCAATCTGGAGAGGGACAAACTTTGTCTATTTAATTAGGTACTAAAAACTCGTAAATACAAATTTGCTTTCTACTTTGATCGTAAGATAATTTGATCACAAAATCGATAAAAAAGGTGGCCTACAAAAATATTGGGCCGTTTGTCCTATATAACCTTGTTATTTTGAAAAATTTGAGGTGTAGGCCATGCAAAATAGCTCAATATTTTTGAAGGCCACCTTATTTCCTGATTTTGTGATCAAATGGGTATTTACAAGTTATTAGTATCTAATTAAATAAACAAAGTTTCAGGGGGATGTTAATAATTTGATAAAAAGGGACTAATAGTTTTCAAAGAAAAATCTTCCACTTGCACGATTTTCCTGTTGAATCTTTTTTTTTTTTTTTTTTTTTTTTATTTCTTTATGACATTTACAACTGTATTACATAAATGCATCAAGTAAATTTGGACATAATTGATATAATGACATGAATACACTTGCTGAATAACTACCCAATGGTAGCACTCTAATGATATGACTACATTAGGAGATCACGGGGCCATCTTCTTTTCAGACGCCTCGGAGGGTTATCAGGAATTGAAAAGGAAGCAAGGTTAGAAACGAGAGGATTGGGATGATTCTGAAGTTTATTATGGAAGGATAGGTATCTGGATTGGGCCAGATCTGAAACATAAGGAACATTAAGATCTTTATGGATAATTTTATTAGTGACAAAGTAAGGAGCATTGAGGATTTTATGAAGGATTTTGGATTGTAAGGATTGGATGCGAGAGGAATTCGATGGTTTAGTGGAGCCCCATAGCTCAACTCCGTAAGTCCAAATAGGTCTTATTATAGTCATGTATATGAGTCTTTTGTAATTAATGGGAAGTTTAGAGCGTTTGTCTAGTAAGTGCTGAAGTAATCGGAAACGTCGAGCGGTTTCTTGTCGTTTCAGTCTAGTATGAGGATTCCAAGTTAGTCGTTTGTCCAGGTGGAGTCCTAGGTATCGGATTTGCTCAACAGGGATAAGTGGAGTATTGTTAAAGGAAACTGTAGGACAGGAAGTCGTTGGTTTACTGTTGAATCTAAATGAATTTATACAACTTTGAATATCTCCATTTAAAAAAAAAAAAATGAATTAGTGTAATTTTCCTGAAAACCAATTACATAAATATGATTTCTTTGATGAACTAAAGTAATATAAACCAAAAGGTATGTGAACCATAATTAAAATCAGCTTATAAAAATCAATACGCTAACTATAACAAAAATTGGCCCAAATTAAATGATTTTTTTTTTAGTTTTGTCAGAAATTTACCTTTGAGAAAATGTTTTTTTTTTTGGACTTGAGGGGTTCTAAAATGTAAAGAATTGACTTGATAGAAATACTTTCCTTAACTGGTAGTGGTAGGAAAGTAGTAGAATAATTAGGCGGGGTGGCCGAGCGGGCTAATGAGTGTGCATAACACCACACTGCGCATAGCCTGGCAACCTGGATCAAAGATAATTTGATATAAATAATTACAAGTTTGCGTATCGGTGCCTGGTGGATTTTAACACTGGCATTAATCTCCTGGCCCTGAAAAATCTTGTATAGCCTAAAAGGGGAGGAGCAAAAAAAGTAAAATAAAACGTGCAGAAAATAGAATAAAATTTATCATAGAACGTTTATTTTGCGAGTTACCCCCAAAAAATGTTTCCTCTAATAATAACTTTTTTTCCTGAATTTTCTCAGGAATTCTCTGCATGTACAAAAATGGAAAGGACTTTAAGTAGAAAATTACATGAAAAGTTCAACAAATTCGTTAAATAAGTTTTTTTCTTATTTCACAGGGAGTGCTCCATGTTTCACTAGCATTGGTAGTCAAAAGTCTACAAAAAAAAAAAAATAATAATAAAATAAACAAAATTGGTCCGCTCGTTTCAAGATAATCTTGGCACAGATGGAAAAAGGCTGAAAATGTGTTTATCGGACTCAAAGGGCTACGAAATGTAAATATCTGATGAAAGCAGCACATTGGAAATTTGACCTGATTACAATACTTTCCTTACTTAGTAGGGATAGGAAAGTAAAAAAAAGTTTATATTTAGCTAAAAATATGAAATAACAATGCATCTCAGACATTTGGTGGGGACTGAGCATGTGGTCTATTACGGTAGCATGATCTTTACAGCCAAACGCTATGCTATCAAAGTCTCTTATCAGCTGTACTTAATAAACGTCCATTTATAAAATATGTTTTTAACTAAATACTCTCATTCAGAGATGACCGGCTGAGAGAAAATACTGAAAAATATTTCTTGGATGGAGATTTCGAATATGGAAACACACTTTAAGCTAAAAGTATGGGATATATTTTAGACACTGATAGACCATGTTTCCACTCTTGTGACCTAGTTCCATCCACAACAAATTTTATTAAACATTAATTATCCTAGCAAATATGCATAAGAAAAAGTTGGGATTTTTTTTGTTTTTAATGTTGTAATCTGATGTTCAATGAGGAATAAAAACTGAAAAAAAGTTTTGTCATTGAAAAAATTATTTAATTTTAAATATACACTTTAGGCCATGTAGTAAATGGACTAATTCCCTTTGGATGAAAAGTGGATTTATAAAAAAATGATTTAATGTTAATGACTAACTTTATTAACTTGTTTTTTTCTCAATATTCATTATTATTTTTTTATTTATGATACAACTGTATTAAGAATAAAAATATATTCAGTAAATGTGATAACAGGAAATAGTAACATGAAAACACTTATTGAGAAACTACCCACTCTAGTGTAGTAGCACTCTAAAAATTGATTAACAATATCTCGATCAAAAGGCCATCTTCTTTTCAAACGCCCCGGATGGTTCTGAAGTTTATCATGGAAGGATAGGTATCTGGATTGGTCCAGATCGGAAACATAAGAAACATTAAAGGCGTGATGGATGATTTTAATAGTGACAAAGTAAGGAGCATTAAGGATTTTGGATTGTAAGGAATAGATATGTGAGGAATTTGAGTCTTTGTGGAGCTGATATGTGAGGAATTTGAGTCTTTGTGGAGCTAGACTTTTGCCCAAGGTATCAGATTTGTTCAATAGAGATAAGTGGGGTATTATTAAAGGATACTGTAGGACAAGAAGTCATAGAATTACAATGAAGGGCAAAGGTGATTTCATGGGATTTATTTTAATCCTCTAGTTTAGACACTATTCTACAAGGTTATCGATGTCCAATTGAAGAATTTGGGATGCAATTGCTGGGTCATTATTAACTGATATGACACATGTGTCATCGGCAGACGTACTGATGACAGTGTTTGGGTTGGGATGTCAGCTGTATAAGCTGTGTAAAGAAGAGGATCTAGGATACTACCATGAGGAACACCAACGGACTGGGAATTTTAAAAATAAAATATTACAATTTGTATAATTTAAAATTATAATAAAATTGTACAATTAAATCCTTCAGCGAAAAAAAAATATATATATAACAACTATTATAAATGACATTTTAATGTAGATTTGTTTGTTGTTACCAATTTCCTATTAACAATATTTTAATATTTTGTGAAGCAACAGGAGTGAGATCTAATGACACAACTTTCTGTTACAAATTAATATTTTTAACTCATTAAGTCACAAAGTTTGATAACGCAAATGTTTAAGATTTAGGATGATGGGGAAGATTTTATCTACTAAGAAGTAATCACAAGTCTTGTGTTCTCAGGACTGAAAGTAAGCATCAAATTCTCTAGATATGCTGTACATAGCCAGTATAAATTGGAAAATATCTAGTTCCTGCTTCTATTACCTCATTTGTTTATAACTACTGGAGGCAACACTATGAAGCAGTGTGTTAAATGATTAAAAGTACATGACAACTTTAATAGTAGTATTTTAGTTCTTTCTACTTCAGAAAATTTACAAAATAAAAGTTAGTAGTTAGTCACTGTTAAGGAACAGTACAATAACTTTCAATTTTTTAAAGTAACAAAATAGTCTGCAGGATAACAAAAATCTTAACCCTCTTTAGATCCAAGAGGATCAAGTCTAGCTTTTTAGTATGCCATGCTCATAAGAACAGAGATAAATTTATAGAATTACATAGTCAATTTAAAATTTAAGGAAATTTACTTTTAAAGATCTAGATGATAGCGGTGAAGATTTTATTTACAAAGAAATGATCGCAAGTCTTGTCTTCTCAGTACTGAAATAAAGAGTTAATTCCCCATGATAAGTACATAGTAAAAATTTGAAAATATCTAGTTCCTACTTCTATTGCTTTATTTATAAGCACTGGAGGTCACAGTGTGAAGCAGTATTATTAAATTGACTTAAAATTTACAAAATAAAACTTAGTAAGGCAGGATCTTCAATGCGGAGTGGCTTTCTATGGCCTGTATCAGGATTTTTGCCATGAAGGGCAAGCTTAACATTGCCTCACATTCTTTCTCTGCCCATGGCCCTTCAATAAAAGTCAACATTTTGGTACCATACTTTGGAACAAATATAATTTTATATCATCCCATACTGACTGAATTAAAATAAAAAAATAATATTTTTACTTTTATTTCTGCTCAAAATTTGCCACCCTAGACCCAACTCTGTGGCTTTCAATCGGGTTTGTTACTAATCTTTTTTTCTTTTCTGTTGGCATTACACACCTTATAGATATTTTGCCGCCTTAACAAGCCTGCTACCTCACTGTCTATCTTGGGCTATTTCTTTCCATTTATCTGCACGCAGCTCTATTGCATTTTGGTTGATTTGCTCTAGTCCATCTGGTTTTTGGCCTTCCACGTACCATGTAGTCTTTTGCCTTCTGTTGAGGCATTCATTGTTATGTTGAGGCTTCCAGATGAATTGCTATGAGTTACATGCCCCACCCATCTTAACCTCCATGCCTTCATATCATCGGATATTGGTTGATCAGTTACTGTAAGTAGTTCTTTCTTCTCCACATGTTAGTACTCTGATCCCAGATCACTCCAGTTATCATGTAGAGGAATTTTCTCTCAAATTTTTCAACACTTTGTTCTAGGGCGCTGGTTAGTGTCCAGGTCCATTAGAACTGGTTTTATCATAGCATTGTACACCCTTAGTTTGAGATTTTTTGGGATATAAATACCTTTGAAAGGGAGAAGAAAGCTCTAGTTACATGCTGGTCTATTTCTGCCCTTTTGTCATTCATTGAGGTTATTGTGGAATCGAGGTATTTGAATTTTTCTCCTCTTGGGAATGATTTTCCTTGTATGGAAATCCTGTTATTGCGGTGGAATTTTAAGGTTATTATCATATATTTGTCTTCATTTACTTGTAGGAAAATCTGCTCTGCCTCTCTTATCAGAATCTTAGCCTTTTGGCTTTCAATTGGGCTGGTTACTACTTACCTACTAAAATTTATTTCAGTGAAGTAAATGAGAGCAAATAAAAAAAAAAAAAAATTAAAATGTGAACAAATATAAATGTTGTGGATCAGCTAAAAGTAGAAATCATCACTTATACAATTAAAATATTACTGAAAAATACTAACTTCTCGTTTTGCCGCACTTAGCTGTTCACACAAAGATAAAGAATAGTAATCAGCTCCGGCTAAAAAAGATGCCTGAGTGGTAGAATTAACCAAATCTTCAATGTAAACAAAGAGGGATTCTAAATTCTGGAAAATTAATGCATAACAACAGTTCTCAATAAAAAAAAAAAACTAATACATATAATTATTCCAGGATATTATTACTGTAAACTTCTCTTTTTCTTCCTTCATTAAATTTCGGCATTCTATAATTGAATCAGATAACTGTTCCTCAGCTAAAGAATCTCCTATCCTACTAAGGAATTCTTCAATTAAATCAATTTGCTTATTCAATATTTTCCTGGAAAGTAATTTTAGAAAATTAAATTGGTCTTATGGAACTAGTTCCGAAGTACTAATCTAATATGGCGAATGGGCAAAAGATCACATAGCAGATAGAATGGGAAAGTAAACAAATCTCAAAATGCTAACCATTTGTAGGCAATAAAAATACTATTTAATGACAATCCTGTTAATAATTAAAATTATTATTGCTATAGTTAGATCATGAATGTCAGATTTCCCCTCACTACAGAGAATAACCCCCAGTAGATCGTTTATATTTCGAGTTACCATTTTCCAAAGCACGGACCGCTGCTTGGAGAGGCAGGGCTGTGGAGAGAAAATAAGGGCTCCAAGAATAATATTTCGGGGTTCAACAAAAAAATGAAATTAATTACTAAAACCCAAAATTATAATTCATAATGTTAAGATAATACATAATTATTATGTAATGCTACATATACATAAGCCAAAAAATAAAACATTGCTGACCAGCCCCAGCTGCATTCCCCTTTCGCTAGCCAGTGGAGAGGCTAATATAAGGCCCCGAACGTAACAGAAAAGTACTCAACGTATATTTGTTTAACTTTTCAGTGAGTGAGATTCTGACAGTCGCGGTATAATTAAAGCATTAATTGCCAACAATAATCCTAATTAACCATTCCTTAAAAAAATGTAACTTAATCTGAAGATTCAGCATAAATGTGACTAGAATTGTCAATACTTAGCTACTTTGGACATTCTTTAGGATTCCATGTATAGTATGATTGATTTGATCTTTCGCCCAGCAACCAAATAGGATTGCAGTTTAATTTCGGAATTAGAACAAGTCTTTTTACAACTTAAATCAGCCGTAGTTAATAATGGCAAACATTTTTTAATGAAGTTGACTTACTTATAACTATTAGCTACATCAATATAAGCTGCAACTGTACAATGTAATAACTGTGCGACAGCAGAAACAGCAACACCCGATGACTGCTTTAATAAAAATTCATGAGTCAACGATTGAGGTGATACCTATTGAAATAAAAACTAATTTATTACAACAAACTTACAAAAAATATTATATTATTTAATAGTTTAATACCTCTGAATTCTTGGCAACATCAGATGCACAATAAACTAATAGTATCTGTGGAACCAATCTAACTTTAGGAGAAAATGAACAGTGCCCTTTTAATGGACCCTGTAACTGAATTTTACTTATGTGGTAATACATTTTTAAATAAATAATAAAAATTCATTTAAAGGATACTTACTTTCCTAAATATTTGTCTCAAAAGCATCAGTTTTGATTTAGTTAAGACAAAAAATGGAAAGAAAAAAATTAACCAAACTCTTTATAATAGAAACATCTATTACAATAACTAAAGGAAAATCCGACAGTACATAATGGTTAACTTTTTCGTTTTCTAGACTTTAATTAACGAAAAATATTGACATTATAGGAAATAATTCAAAAGATAACCGGCTAAACTGTTATCTTCTATCAGTTCAAATATCGATTAAATTGTCGATGTTTATGAAGAAGGTTGTGTTTTGGTTACATTGTTGATAACAGGAATTTTGGTGGTTTTGTTGGTGTAGTCAATTTAGAAAACATAAAGTACTTTGATTTTTGTATATTAGGTAATGTTATAAGCTGTCGAAAGAAAAATGGGAAGGAAAGGACATAACAAGCAACAAAAACTTAATAAATCAAACATTCATTGTAATGGCATTCCAAAAGGAGGAGAGGTAAATTTAAAACTATCTCCTCTTAAGAAAAATGATTTGAATAAATTGGTTGATAAATTACTTAAAGGTAAGAAGATGATTCGCTATAAGCATTTATTATATGGTAATTATTATTTAAAATCTTAATTATTGTTGTTTTGTAGTGACAAGTACATTAGGAGCTAACAATTTGAACAGGAGTTATGAAATACATTTGGAAATGGATAAGTTACTTCATAAAATTATGAACATAGAAGAAGGTGATTTATATTTATTTTTATTCTTATTCATTTGTAAGCTTTCGTTGTCGTTTTTGCTTTAAGTGTCATAATCAGCGACAAAATAAGAAGCTAGTATTCTATATTTTGTTCTGTTTGTTTATTTAAATAATTTTTTTTCTTAATTGACCACCATTGAGGATAATGTCAATTTTTTATTTTATTTTTAATTGTACTAGATAAATTTCCAAAGATTTGAGATGATTTAAATTACTTCATTTTAATATTCAGTATTTAGGAATCCTTCTCGTGGTTGTTACACAAAACAATCTTTTATTAGAATTATTTTGTGAGGAATCTGGCTTATTTTGGAATATGACCCCAATTTCATAAAAGAGCCAAAAAATCTCCTTATTTGGGAAAGAGTTGGAAAAGTTATGAAATTCTTATTTATTCACATGATAATGCTTGGAATATCATGAAGATATTGTTTTGATTTTACTTTTTAATAATTATTTAATTAGTTATAGTGTTATGTCAATAAATATTATTACTATTTTTATGTTCAGATAACTACTTACACCAAGGTTCATTGGTTACAGTAAAATCAATAATATTACTTATTGTTATTCTAAAACAATGTTTATGACCATTATATTTAATAATTTAAAGAGTAAAATAACATTGATTGTTATACTATTGATATCTTAATTTTTATTTTAAAAAATATATTACTTATTAAATTTAATATGTTTTACAAACTCATCTAAACATTTATAGTGCAAACCTCCCATGTTCTCTGGATTATTTGGTATTACAGAAAACAAATGTATATAGTAGGAGTAATTCATTCAAACTGAAATTTACATAATGAAAAAAATTAAACCTAAAAAGTTATAAAAGATAAAGGCCTTTTAGATTACATCACATTGTGATCTGTTAACTTAGGAAGATAAACAACAAATTTACTGTCTTGTGAAGTTAAAAAAGAGATTATTTATCTGAAGTTTTTTAATATTCTTAATATGACTTGGATGTTTTTTAATTTAAGAAAATACTAAGTTATTAAAAAAAAAAAAAAAAAATTAACCGGTTTTGCGAGTATTATTAAAAACTGAGTTGTGACAGGGGTAAATGAGTAAAGCTCTGTGGTTCAGGTCCTACCACCAGATTAGACTATGGTAGTTGTTTATTATGTTATTCAGCCATGGATAAACCCTGGGACTTACGATCTTTCTGTGGTGTAACCAGCCTCTATGAAGTTGGTACTATTAATTAAGGGGAAAACCTGGCGGTTGGGTGTGATCTCAGTTCAATCATCTCCTTGCCCAACTGTTGAATAAGCAACAGTACTTCCTTTCAAAGTATTGAATTGTTTTATTATTATTTCCATTCTTTATTCTTGCTTTGCAGGGTAAGTTTCTGAGGTGGAAGACCAGAAGTCCAGCCATCTTTATATTATTATCTATTATTTTTTTTTTAGATGTTTAAAAATTTTCGAACAATACTACGTACTGTGTCTAAGTATTGAGAACTGAGTGTTGAGCCTCTTTCAGCACTTCAAGAGGTAATTTTAATCCTATTGTGCCTGCCACTGTTGTCTTTGGTATCAATCCATTGGAGGATATTATAATTGGAGTGGTAGTGACATTTAACAAATGATGTAATTCCTTCAGTTCAATTGCCAGTTCCTGGTATTTTCTCAGTTTTTCTCCAACAGTGGAGCGTACATTATTATCGTTAGGGATCCCGACATCAATAAGCTCTGCTCTTTTCTCTCTCATATCTATCCGTAGGATATCTGGTTTATTGTGACGCACAGTATGGTCATTTATAATCGATTCATCCCAGTAGAGCTTGAGACTACCTTTTTGGAGGAGTTTATTTGGATGGTATTTATAATATGGAGTTTTGTCATCTAATAAGTTGAGCTTCACCGCCAGAGCCTGATGAAAAATTCTAGCCACATTGTTATGCCTCTGGAGATACTCGGTGCCAGCTAACACTTCACACCCACCTGTGATATCTTGGATTGATTCCAGCGTCGCTGAGCATAATCGACATTTATCCGTAGTTGTTGCGTCTTTTAGAACATGCCTTCTATATGATTATTATTTCCATTCATTATTCTCGCTTTGCGGGGTAAGTTTCTGAGGTGGGAGACCAGAAGTCCAGCCACCTTCATATTAATATCTATTATTTTTTTTTAGATGTTTAAAAATTTTAGAAGAACATGCCTTCTATATGATCTAGTAGCAATAATTTGGTCTTGGATGGCGAGTAGAAATCCTTCTGTCTCGGAGAATATCTTTCCAGCTTTCAGCATTCAATGGATATTTCCTTGTCAATCGAGCTATCATTTAATTTGCTGTAGAATCTTCCATGAGGGATTTTTATTTTTCCATTCTGTCAACCGTTCATTTTCCGACACGATTGTAGAGACCTCACGATTGCTCAGGTTAAGTGCGGTTAGACCATAATCCAATCTTGAGATTGCGAGGTAAACCTCAGTTGTTTTTGTAAGAAAGTATCGGCTTAGGGCCGTTTCCTGCTTGCGGCAAGCTTCTTCAATATTTAGCAAACCACGTCCTCCGTCTTTCCTAGGTAAATACAGACGAGCTTTGGAGGATATTGGGTGGTGGGCCCGTTCTTGTGTGAGAGTCGCTCGCACAAGGCAGTCGATCTCCTGTAGGCTGGTGTTTGACCATTGCAATATGCCGAAACTATAACCGAGAGCAGGTATTATCCAGGTGTTAATGGCCTTGATTTTTTGTTTCCCAGTTAGCTGGGTCTTGAGTACTTTCCGCAATCTAATTTTGAACATTGTCAGAAGGTCTTGTTGCATGTCTTTTCTTGCAATTTTAAGATGTTGTTGCATGCCCAGATATTTATATAACTTATGGTCTTCAAGCTCCTTGATGTACTCTTTTTCATTGATTAGAATATTCTGATATTCTAATATCAGAATTGTTATATATATATATATATATATATATGTAACCTATATATATATATATATATATATATATATATATATATATATATATGTAACCTATATATATATATATATATATATATATATATATATATGTAACCTTTGTACCACTTTTCGTTTTTGAGATTGACTCTTAAAACACACAAGCATAGGCCATTTTGCGGGACTCGATTATTTAGAATCAGGAAACCTCAAAACGTGTATTTCTGTTGAAAACTGAGATTAAAAAATTTTCATGATAGCAACATTTTCCTTAACTATCTATATATATATATATATATTATATCTAGGCAAATGAAAGTAAAAATAAAACACTCTTCTTATAATGCAACAATATAATTTTCCATATGTAGTTTACATTGATAAAACCTTGTATAAATACAAGAATTTTTTTTATGAATGGCAATCCTGGTATAGGTATAATCTTTCTATTATATAAAAAAGTTTTCAGTGATTTTTATATTTCATTTTAATATTAGGAGAGTATGAGATAACCGGAGCTCAACAGCAGCCAAGTCCTCTAGGCTCGATAGTACTACCTATGGCAGTTATGTTACAAATTATACAGCTGTTCATTTAATTACATATGTGTTAAATAAATTTTGTATGGAAATGGTATTTTAATTGATAGTTTGATTTTACCTAGCTGACAGCGGTTATTTTTTGATCTAGACGTTTCCCCTTGAATACAATATATTAATTATTATATTATACATAATATTATTTATATTACATTGTGATATTATAATTATTATGAACTATAAAAGGAAGCACAATATAAGGTACAGTGAAAATATTATAAATAAACGGTTCAAATTATTTTTGGGCTTATATGAAGCTGGACAAGTTGAATGTATATTATGGTTACAAATTGACAACAAGAGTAGTTATAATTATATAATACTATATATTGGTAATAAGGCACAATTTGTAACGTTGATTTTTAAATAAATTCAAAATTTGTCCGGACTGTGGTTTTGTTCAGTTTAGTTTATGTTAATAAAAAAATAATATAATCTGAACTACAGAGGACATGTAAATTAAAGTTATACAATTTGAGCAACGAGTAGTACAATTAAATAAACACGTGTATAATTTTTAAAATGCTGGTTGATCCGATGTTAGGCGGACAGGGGGTACCCCTCTAGTACTTATAAATAAATAGAAAAATGAGTGATCTCATGTCGATGATGGACATCTGTCATTTTTAGAAAGTTTAAAAAAAGCCTATTTCCTGTAACATATTTTCAATTTAAACCGATTACAATGTTTTGCTTCATGATTAAACTTGAATATTCTTAAATAGAATTATCAGAAACAGTTTGATTTGAAGTCACTCAAATGAAGATTAATAATTAATTAATTTCTTCCTTGTAGAAATCAACATTGAATTGCCTACAAGGGATGAAACTTCTTTTGAAAATTTAACTAGTTGGATGATTGAAAATGGTGCGAAGATTGAAGGTGTTGAACTAGCACAGTTCGAAGATTACGGGTATGGTTTAAAAGCTATCAATGAAGTGAAAGAAGGAAACTTCATGATATCTGTTCCGAGAAAATTAATGATGACTACAGATCTCGCCAGGAAATCAGAATTGGGTAAATAAAGTTCTTATTACATTCTTAGTTAAGTTTCGGAACTGAAAAAATTAATTATGTTTTTTTTTTTCAGAATATTTAGTAAGAAATGATACCCTTCTCAAACATATGCCAAACATAATTTTAGCTTTATTTTTACTTTTGGAAAAAAATAAATCCTCGTCTTTCTGGGAATCCTATATCAAAGCGCTTCCATCCTCTTATCATACTGTAATGTACTTCACACCACAGCAGTTGGAGGCTCTTAAAGGATCACCTGTTTATGGTAATAAAGCATTATTAAAATACTTTTGTATAATTTTACTTGAGATAATCTAAAAAGAGTACATTTAATGAAATCTTGAGATTACATTTGATGGAGTACCTAACCTATACTTTTTCTACGTTTGGCAATTGGGTACATTCAATGAAAAGATCGTGTAGTTTTGAGTTGCAATATAACTGAAGTGATAAAGAACTTATATAAGATTGAAGTTGTACTTTTCAATAATAAAAAGAGGTTCAGATGTAGCTAAAAAACTTCAAATAACAATTTATTCTGGAGGTGTGGGCTATGTCCTCCATAGTGTGTTGTAGTGGCTGCAAAAGTGTTAATACTGTCCACAATGCTGTCAAAGTGCCCCTCAGCTCTACTTTGTAAACCATTTAAAAAGCTAATAATTTACATTTTTAACTCGATATATCTAATATATTTCTATCTGGGTGTAAATAAAAGAAAATGAAGTAGTACTAAAGATAAAATGTGTTTTATTATTATTAATATTTCTATTAAGAGACAGTGAGAGAAAAAATGGAAATATATCTCTAGGATGGATGTTTAAATATGGAAAGAGAAAAGAATACCTGAAGCTTGGAATACGGGCCTAATCTGTCCTATCTTAAAGAAAGGTTCCACATATGAGTGTACTAATTACGGAGGCATAGCACTCCTTCTGGTTGCATACAAAATAATGACCAATATCTTACTAAAATGGATATATCCGTATTACAAAAATATAATAGGCAGCCACAAAGTTGGATACAGCAAAGAAAGGAGCACGCTAGACCAGATCTTCATTCCAAAACAAGTACTCGAAAAATGATGGGAAGTAGTTCAGAACGTTCATGCCCTATTTGTCGATTTCAAAGCAGTCTATGATTCTGTGGACAGGAGCTGTCTTTGGAAAATCATATTTGAACTAGGAGTTCCCGGTAAGTTAATGAGATTGACAAAGGCTTGTACAAATGACCCTAAATGTAGAGTTCTAATACAAGGAGAAGTATCTGAAGACTTCAAAGTTCGAACAGGCTTACGGCAGGGAGATGGTCTATCACCGATGTTGTTCAACTTAACCATGGAGAAGGTAATACGAATAACATCTCAGGAAAATGGAAGGGTCCACATCAGAATAAATCATAAAATCCTTGAATACGCAGATGATATAGCTGTCCTTGGAAGTAATCAAAAGGACATTGAGAAATTCGCTAAGACTTTGATAAGAGAGGCAAAGCAGATACTACAAGTAAATGAAGACAAAACAAAATATATATTAATAAGCCGAAAATTCCATCCCAATAACAGGATCTGCATAGAAGGAAAATCATTCCCCAGAGTAGAAAAATGTAAATACCTCGGCTCCACAATAACCTTAATGAATGACCAATGGACAGAAATAGACCAGTGTATAACTAGCTCAAACAGAGCTTTCTTCTCTCCTTTCAAAGATATTTAAATCCCAAAAAAACTCAAATTAAGGGTGTACAATGCTATGATAAAGCAAGTTCTGATATATGGATGTGAGACCTGGACACTAACCAACACCCTAGCGTGTAAAAAAAGTATTGAAAGATTTGAGAGAAAAATCCTCCGCATGATAACCGGAGCGATCTGGGATCAGAGTTCTAACACATGGAGAAGAAAGACCTATTAAGAACTGCTTACAGAAACTGATCAATCAATATGCCATGATATGAAGGCACGGAGGTTAAGATGGGCGGGGGATGTAGCTCATAGCAATTCATCTGGAAGCCTCTACCTAACAATGAATGCCTCAATAGAAGGCAAAATACCATGTGGAAGCGGATGGATACCAAAAAGCAGATGGATAGGTGTAAACAATAGAGCTGCATGCAGATAATTGGAAAGAAAGATAGGCGGTGATAGAGCAGGCTTGTTAAGGCGGCAAAAGATCTACATCTGTAATGCCAACAGAAAAAAAAAGGAATGGATGTTTTAAAGGTGGAAAACTAGTTATATGGTAATAAGTATAATATAATCAGTGGTATAAGCTAGGCGCTGACAGAGCATAATGTAGCTGTGTCTCCACTCGTGTGGCACAGCTTCATTTCCATTAATTTTATTTAATGCTAATTATCTTTGCAAGTATGGAATTTTATTTTATTTTCCATACTGCCCTGTCTTACGGGCGACACGGGTGTTTGCTGAAGTGGGATGTCATGCATGACTATGCAATAACCAACTTCAGCAATTTTTAGAGGTAACACTGTGCATATTACTATCTTCTCCACAATTATATTCAACATCTTATCTTGAGTTTTTGCAATCCGGTGGTCTTACTGGTGCTGGTCCTCTTCTTCTTTGGGCTCTAATGTTAAAGTGGGCTGGACTCATGGTAGTCTTCCATCCATGAATGAAGTCCTTGAACTGTGGAAAGTTTTCCTCACTCACCAACTGAGGAAGCTTATATCCATCAGATATCCATCTTATGCAGTGCAGGTTGTGACCACATGCTCAACAGTCTCCAAACACCACATTGAGGATCTATGTCCTTGCCTAGGCTATGTAGCTTAATTCGAAAACCCATGCCCTGCGAAGAATTGTGAACCCCAATAGTCTGGGAGGACCCATGATGCTTGTAGTTGAGATTGGACGGTGAGGAAGTATTTTCTGAAGGTACTACCTTTCGGGGTCGCCGCCCACTGCCAGCTCCATTCCTCAATTGTTTCCTCCCGGATAATTTTCTTCCATATGTTGCAAATATGCAACATAAAAATTTGTGCCTTTTTGTGTTTTTATTGTTAAATGTAGGGGTTCTCCAAACTTTTCGACCTGCAGGCCCTGTTAAGGCCTCGACTTAGTTCAAATAGGCCACATTGAGTCCTTCAATAAGTCCTGTGAGCCACAGCTTATGAAAAAACAAATATAGATGTATGAATGTTCAGAAATATTGGGTTTCAAACATTAATACATAGGCAAAAAAGCATTAATGTTTTATATTTATTTCCTATAACTGTAATTTAGGAACTTATTGTAATTAATTATTAAAAATTGAAACATTAATCTTTTTTTTTAGTTCATCCAAAAATCTTCTTTGTTTTTTTGGACTTACCTATATATGAATTATATAGTAAAGGAAAGTATTGCGATCGTGAAAATTTTCGAATTTCTGTTTTCAACAGAAATACACGTTTTGAGGTGGTCCCTGAGTCCAAATAACCAAGTCCCGCAAAATGGTCTGTGTGTGTTAACAGTCTAGCTCAAAAACAAAAAGTCGTACAAAAATGAAGTTGCATATTTAAGGTTTTAATACACTAGGGATGTTACAGCAACTTTTTTTGTCAAAATCAGCTAACCTGAAGTGGCACTTTATATCATGGACTAAACACATTTTTACGATTTTCTCAAAAATGGCTCTAACGATTTTTGTAAAATTCATTATATCAGTGTAAAACTAAGCATTTTAAAATAAAATGTAGTTTTTATTTTGATTGATGTTCTCTAACAGGGCTTAAATTGCTACTTTTCAATATTAGCTTACTCTGAAGTACCTTTATTTTTTTTAATTTGAAACATTTGACCATTTCACATTAATTTCTTATATAAAAGATAATTAAATATAAAATATGAAAGAATTTTATAATTAACTAAAGGAGAAATAAGAGATCGTAACGGAGAATATTTGTAATTCAGGAGCCAAAGTAATGCGAGTGCACCCGAACTCTGAAAAAATATTAGAACACACTTCCATTCGTAACATGAGCTTAATATAAAAGGAGCTCTGACAATATTATATACATATGTGGTTTTTATAAATGCGATTGTCGGTATTATTTAATATTTAATTGTATAGATTACAGCAATATAAATATTAAAATTAGTATATATTAGTACTTATAAAATAAAAATATCCGCAATGAAATATAAATAAATATAGCGTCTATAATTTTTACTTTCACTTCCCCTTTGTCTGAAAATACTTATTTATGCAAAGAAGAGGGAGGTAAGTAAAAGTTGTGTGATGCGCTCAACAGGACAGATTTTTTTTTTAAAATCCAATCAATTTCATATTATACCTAGACCTTTATATAAAATTCTCTAAAATCTGATAAAAAACTAAAAAAAAAGTGCTTAAAAAGTGTATTCAGTATCAGGGTATTAGCAGGAGAAGATTTAAATGTGAATTATAAAACTGGATGTTTTAAGTAAGATGAACCTTGTCTATCGTCTCGGCCCAATCACCTTCCTGCACAGCGATTGGTTTTGAAAACCCTTCATGGGTTATAGTGATACAGTTTTTAAAAAAGAATTTTTTTGGTGGGGCGGAATGAGCTAAATCCTGTGCACAGTAATAACAGTAATAAAATCCTGGAGTTTTCCAGTAACCAGATATATGAAGTTTTGAGAGAGAAAAAAAAGTAGGAGCTCGCGTCCCGGTGCCAGAGGGGATTTTAAATTCCCCGCCCTCATCCCTCCCTTCCGCGGCCAGGGAAACCCGTATAGCCTAAAAGGGGAGGTAGGGAAGAAAGAAAAAAAAAAAAGAAAATGATAGCAGTTTTTATTTGTTTATTGTTTTCAATAATCAACTATTGTAATCATATAATAAAATTTAAGAACTTAATCCCCTCCCTCAAAATTTGAGGTTTTACGTATTACGTATCATGCTTCCGGATACGTAGAATTCGAAAATCGAATACAAATTTTGTTGTACGTCCGCCTGGGCGCATTGTCTCCGAGACTACGATGTTTTTCGAATTTGAATTTGAAGTTAGAGGTCACCCGAGGATGATCCTTTTACATTGACATTACTATCCGCCTTTTCCTTTCAAGATGGCAGCCGAAAAACCTGAGTTGCCATAGACAAGGCCTAAACGAATTTCAATGAAACTTGTCTAGTCTTCTTCTGGATGCCCATTAAATTTATCTATATAAAACAATTCAAGGAAAAGAAGCTGAAAAAAGTTATGAGGGTTGGTAAAATTAGATTTCCGAATACTCAAAAAGTATATACTTTTTCGTTGGTATTGTATATGATTATTTAAAAGTCTACGAAATTACCTGTGTTAGGGATAAAAAAAAATCGGACAATCTGGAGCAAAGATATGGTTTTCAGATATTTTTTATATGTTCTACTGCAAATGTTATATCCTTTGTTTTGGTGGTTTTTCATTTTTGAAAGTTACTTAGGCAATGCTGTTTTTTTTTTTTTTTTTTTTTTTTTTTTTTTTTTTTTTTTTTTTTTTTTTTTTTTTTTTTTTTTTTTTTTTTTTTTTTTTTTTTTTTTTTTTTTTTTTTTTTTAGCTACTAATGATCAAAAAAAAAGTTTAGACTAATAATAGGTATTATCTTTTATTTCTTTTTCTTTTTATTACTAGGAAGGTAATGTTTAGTTGTATAATTGTTTGGAAATAATAAACCATTGTGAAATAATTTGCAGCATTTTTGTTCATTCATATTTTTATTGTTAAAATTATTTTTAAAAAAGATTGATAAATATTTAATGGTTATGTTAAAAAAAAGTTATTTTATATTATTTTATGAAATACCTTATCAAACAATATTTTAATGAATTTCATTATTTCAGAATCGGCTCTTAAACAATGTAGAAGCATAGCTCGGCAATATGGTTATTTACATGATCTCTTCCAGGTAAATATTACAATAATTTCTGTATATTTTAAAAAATAATTATGTTTTGTTATTGAAGCTTTATATTTTGTTTAATTGGTGCAATTTTAAAATAATAAAGCCTGAATCTTTTTTTCCTAAATCCCTTGACGTTGATATTAAGGTTCGTAATACGTGATAAAGGATGTGATAGTGGATTGATAATTGACTGTTGTAGATGTATTGAAGAGAAGTTGGTTGAGGTGTTCAATCAAACAAAGAAAAAGGTAAAAATAAATATGAGAAGGAGTTAGTCGAGGGTGCGGTCAAATAAATAAAAAAATTAAAATATATAAATAATTTTAATTTTTGCCAAATGGCAAAAATTAAAATTATTTATATATATATTTTAATTTTTTTATTTATTTGACCGCACCCTCGACTAACTCCTTCTCATATCATATCAACGGTCAACCATCTCTACATCATTATAAAAATAAATAAATCATATATTTTTTTTTCCAACGGTTTGGCACCAGTTGTCCTTCATCGAGGCTAATAAAAGACAAGATAATATAAATATGAGAAACTAGTAGACAGTAAAAGTAAGAATATGTAGGTAAAAGGTATAGTCGACGTAATAACTTGTGATTAGTGTAAACTTAAATGTGCGTTTGTGATAACAGTCCGAAATGTTGGCAAAAATAAAAATAAATATAATTTATTTATTTTTAAAGGTGATCAATAGTCAGGGCGCAATCATTTTAAAGGTTTTTATTAGTACCGACGTTTCTACCCAAGCATGTCAGTTATCATCAGGACGTGTTTCGAGGCCTGAATGTATTCAAGTACTCGAATACCTTCTTCAGTACTTGAATACCTTCTATGCCTGAAACACGCCCTGATGATGACTCATATGTTTGGGTTGAAACGTCGGCACTAATAAAAACCTTGAAAAATGACTGCGTCCTAACTATTTATCACCTTTTATAAGGAGAACAATCAACTAACTTCCTTCAATTATTTATTTTTACTTTTTTCTTTGTTTGACTGAATGTCCCAACCACCTTCTTTTCGAAAAAGGATGTTGGTGCCTCGTAGAACCAAATCCATTCTACTGCTTACGATATATGCATTAGGAATCTTTTTTTGAGTAATAGAGCTTACAAGCTCACTTATAAAGTATGGAATATAGAATTCAGTCCTGGATAAGAACTCTTATCACTGGTATGGTGACATTAACAGTAACAAAATTAAAACATATCCCAAAAATGTGTTTATTTTTATTCAAATTCATCAAAGAGTTTATTTCTATATTATCTGAAGTGCCCAAGGGATCTCAGAACGATTCTCCTTCATTAAACTTTTCAATAGATTTTTAATTTGTTATAGACTATAATAAATAACAATATTTTAAATTTTAAAAACCTTAACATGTGATAGGTATCCCATGGCAACCGTGTGAGAGTTCAAGCTACATAAAAGATTGCTTTGAATTTCTTAAATTTATGTTGAATTCTCTGTCAGAGTCTCAATCTATCAGAGTTTAGAAACCTCCTACTTTTCATTTTATGACTTATTAATCTTGTGTTTTAATTTTTTAATACAATTGTGTTACAAGTGCAAATTTAATGATCGAAAATGGAATTTATTACTTCTTCATATAACTATATAGTTAGTAAATTATCTTCTTGTTATACTATTATTAATCATCATTAATAAATGTATTATCCATGTTTATCTGTTGTATATTTTATATGTAACCAATACAGTAAATATCAATTAAAAATAAATTATGATTAGTGTAATACATACAAGATAATTTAGTTCAATATTGTATTTTAATGGAATAAAAGAGTTTGATAATTCCTTTATGTCCTTGATAAGAGTCCGAAACATTGCAAAAATTATTAAAAAATAAAGTTTTTTGTTAATTTATAGGAACTAATATACAATATTTCTCTTGCTCTTACTTACCTTTCAATGGCTACTTTACATTTTATATATTATGAAGAACTTCATTTTGTGGTAGTGGTTAGGGGTGGGAGAGAAAACGCCTAACATTTGAAAAGAACAGTACTTGATCTCAAACGAATGAACTGTTCTTCCGAACGTATAATAACAGTTCTTTTTCTTTAGCTCACCCGTTTGCCACTAGTCGAGTTGCTGTTTGATCTGTTTTTCGATTCATTTTTTCCAAACAAAACATAAGTTCTTTCTACTTTCCAACGAACCTATCAGCTCATCATGAAAGTAACCCAACAGTTTATTTTTTATAAGACACATTTCAACTGTCTAAGTTTAGGGATGTAATTTTTAGCTCCTATCTTTAATTAACGAATGCTAGAAATAAATAAAAACTTTCATTATAGTTACTACATTATTAAATTAACTGAAGCATATTTGTAGGTAAAATTAGTTTATATTTTTATTAAATGTATCTGTCTATATTAGTTGCAGACCTAAAATAATTTTTATGATTGAACATATTCACATAAATTAATTTAATTGCATAAATAAAATTAAACACTATTATGTTCTATAAAAACTGAAAAAGGCCAAAATTTTTAAACTACAGTTAAAAGACTTATGATGACCAAGCAGCATAATTTTAAACATACAAGAGAGTCAAAGTACTATTAAAATAAAAACATTTCTATGTGTAAAAAATAATTTTTAGTTTTAATTAGTTAAAAAGAAATTTTTAAGATTAAAAATTCATCTAATATTACAAATAAATTCAAAGGTTATCAATTTCAAGCTCGAACAATGCCAAACTTCATGCATAAAACGATTCATTCATTTCCAGACTTGTTATTAAACGAATAGGTATTACTCCATGAATCGTTGCGTTGTTCTATGAACTATTTTGTTTTTAACAGTTCTTAAGAACTGTCAACGAACAGTTCATTCACGTTTTTCAAAAGTAGCAGAAATGCCCACCTCTAGTAGTGGTAACTTTTTTTTTGGCTTAATTTTGTGGTGAAATATTTTTTAAAAATGTTTTCTCTGTCTTCATGAGATTTTTATGTTATTCAAGATATTTTTGATAATTGAAATTTCCAGTTTGTTTAAATAATCAACAGTTCCTAAAGGTGCTCTATCTCAAATTTTGATTTTCCAAATCATTTGCCTAATACATGCTCTAATATAGATAAGATTTGGGTTTTAGACTAATGATAATTATAAAAATTCCTTGAAATTCATATATTGAAGTTGAAGAACTATCATTCATATAATTATTAAGCCATTAAACTTTTTAACATTTTTTAAGCATTCAGAAATAAGTTTTTATTTATTAAAATTAATAATGATTTCTTTTTACTTATTAAAATAAATAATGATTTCTTACTTTTTGATTTTAGAAATCTACAGATCCGGCTAGCGATATTCTACGTGATGCTTTTACATATAAGCAATACAGGTAAATGAAACATTTAATAAATCATTTGATAATTTAGTCTATTCTTCTTCCTAAATATGGAAACACTTTTATTTAAAGTAGGACGGTAATTGAAAGTATGTGTCCACTGCTCCAGATTTTTCTCATTGATATAGTGGTTTTAATCTGTGTTACAGACCCTGTTTTATCAAATTATTAACATCTGCCTGAAACTTCCTGAATAGCTTCATCTCATCGTAACCTGCAACTATTTTATTTACAAAAACTCTCGGAATTGGGACATTTTCAATTTGGAGATCGACTTACTTTGTCTATTTAATTTGGTACTAAAAACTCAAAAATATCTTTCCACTTGGATCGTAAGATAATTTGATCACAAAATCGAGAAAAAAGGTGATCAACAAAAATATTGAGCCATTTGGCCTATATAACCTCGTTATTTTAAAATGTTAGGGATGGAGGTCATGCCAAATGGCTCAATATTTTTGTAAGCCGCCTTTTTTTCTCGATTTTGTGTTCAAATTATCTTACGATTCAAATAGAAAGCGAATGGTTATTTACGAGTTTTAGTACCTAATTAAATAGACAAAGTTTGCCGATCTCCAGATTGAAATCGCTCCAATTCTGAGAATTTTTGTAAATAACATAGTTGTAGGTTACGATGGGATAAAGCTATTTACGAAGCTTCAGGCGGATGTTAATAATTTAATAAAAAGAGGTCTGTACCACGGACTATTTGCCCCAACCAATGGCTTTTTTTTTTAAGATTAAGAAAATTTCCTTTTTGCTACCTATCTTCTACTCAACACCAAGACCTCATTTCACCATATTTATTATATGTTTTTTATATATTTTTATATTTTGAAAAACTTTAGAACTTTTAAATTATAGATTGATGTTAACAGAATAAACTGAATTTTTTTTTGTGTGTTTATTTATTTATATTAAAAATGTTTATCTAAGATGAGGAAAGTATTCTTTTTCCACAAGGTATTATCAAAACATCCTGTTTCTAAACTCTACTTTATAATAATAACATTTTTCTTACTATGAATAATTAATGGATTTTATATTCCTTCTTTTATAATTTAGTTTTCACCTTTTGTTTGATTTATGCTTCTTTCTTAGCTTATGTATTTTGAATATTTTTTCTATAGTTTATATCACCTCAAAGTAACATAGTGAAAGGTAGAAAAAAATAATAAACAATATTAAAAAAAAAAAAATACATTTTCTATAATAACAAAACAATAAATTTGTACAATCTTCCTTAGCTCAAAACATATACACAGATCTCACTTATAATTCTAAAAATATTTACACAGGTACCTATGTTTAGTATATGGACTTCGATTACAAAAGCTATCATGATATTAAAATAAATATTATGTTATTATAAAACACTCAATATAAAATGAATATTTTGAAAAATATTCTTTCCGTTCATTGGAATATACTTATACTTCTAGGTGGGACTACATTTAGTGTATAAATATTAACAATAGACATTGTAAAATTAATGTTCTATTGAATAATCTTAATACCATTACAAGATCATTCAGAAACAAATGTTGATATTTCTTGCTATCATTTTTTTTTTCTTTTCTGCTGTTTTGTTTATTAGTCATATCTGAAAGTTCTCCTGATTGTTCTCCATAGGTAGTAATGCCTGTTGTTGGGGTTCGTGTGGGCGTCATGACCGTGATGATGGCTGTATGCCTGTTGGTGCTTCGTTAATACTGGACTTAAACTCTGCTGACTTGCCATGAAGTCCTCATTCTGTAGATGTTCGCACATGAGATCCTGTTTTGCCCTGAGTAATGATCTTTTCTGTCGCACGCGACATGAAATGAGCAATGAAAGAAAACCGAACGTTGCCATAGCGAGTATTATACCACTGATGATTATTGCCGATTTTACTCCTACGGGTATTTTCCTGAAGCTTCCGAAGCCGTCTTTCTTGGCTCCCTCTCCATTCGTGCGGCTATACTTTTTATTTGTCTGCGTTTCTGTCTCATCAACTATGTATATATCATTTGCATTATTTTCAAGTGGCTTATTTAAAATATGACTTACCGGTATCTCTTCATATTTACCTCTCACTGATACTGGTCTGAATTTAGGATTCGGTATTACTCTCCAAGTTGGCTTTTCTTCTTTCTTAGCCGAAGGTATGGTCGCAGTCGTGAATTCAGGCATGCTTTCAAACAAACGTGGCTCCCTACTTTCTCTTGTGCTTGTGCTTGTTGACTCAACTAACTCTTTTTTCAATTTTCTCCCCGAGATTTTCTGTTTCATCTGTTATAAATTTAGGAGGAAATGAGTCCATTACTTCTTCCGAAGGAAATATATTATTTAATGTCTCCTTGGGAGTTGTTGATGATGTCGAAGTTGAAGTTACTGTAGTACTTTGTATAGAAGTTGTAATTCTGGTTGTATTTTCTTCAGTATTTTTTTTCTGTGGAAAGATTTCAAACAAATGAAACTGGCTTGAACCTTTTTCTCTATGTTCGAGAAGTTGAGCCAATGTCATATTTCTCGATTCAAGTATTTTCGACAAATAATCTTTCCCACTTTTAGTTTTTAATAATTCTAAGATATAATCATTGAAGTTTGTCAAGTTAAATGTTTTTAAATCTAAATTATCTATCATTTTTTCGAATTCTTCCTCCATAGACCTGTTTTTAATTAATGCTAAACTGGTCGTTGGGCTTTCTGTTTGGTTTATTTCGATGTTTTCTGTGACTGAGTTTGTTGTCGTTTCTAATACTTTGCTTTTATTTAAGAAAGGCTTAGGAATTATTTTAGGATAATTAGGTTCTTCGCCTTCAAAAGTATCATTTTCTGTACTATCATTTTGTTCTTGCTTCTTTTCTGCTTTCATCATTTCTTCTATTAATATTTCTGGTTTTATCATTTCTGTTGGTATTACATGAGGTTCTGGAAACGAGTGAAGTTTTGTGATAATTTTATTTTTTTCTGTTACGTTAACATTTACTTGTTCAATGTGATCTGTTTTCACTAGCTCATTTGGGATTTCAGAAGTATTTGGTTTGCTGTTAGGACTTAATCTCCTTATTACGGCTGACGTAACGGGTAGCATTCGTCTTGAATTTGAAAATAATTTTTTTCGATCAAATATTTTATTCCCGTATGCCGTTGGTTTTTCTATATTTATTTCATCTTTTTCTGTTCTTACTGTATTACTGATTAGTTTTCTATCCTGCAAGTCTTTATTTGAAATTTGTATGCTGGGTTGATTTGTAGTTTGATATGATTTGATGTTTGCTTCAGTAATGAGCACCTTTTCTTCTGTTAAATTTTCATCTATATTAGGGCTGATTTTCGGTAAGGAGGTTGTTGTTTCAATTTCGTAATTTTCTTCATTCCTTATGGATTCATGAGGAATTTCAGTTGGTATTATTTCTTCTTGGATTTCTGGCCTTATTTTCTTTCTTCCTCCTTTTCTTCTACGCCTGAGTGGTTTTGGAGGGCTGTTTTCATCATCTTGATATCTTCTGTATGGCCTTCTTCTTCTCTTTCCTGGCCTGCGTCGAGGATATTCCACAGGAGTGACACCTTCATTATCAAATTCGCTTCTGCCGTAGTAGTTGTCTTGGCTGTGTTCAGGGTTGTTTGTCCTGTCTATTTCATCTACTTGGTGGTTCCTCTGCCTTTTTCGCAACCTGCGCCTTCTTTTTCCTCGAGGCCTGCGGATAGTTTCTTCTTCTGTTTTATCTTCTTCCTTGTAGGCATCTTGTGGATTCCCTTCAGGCCATGTCTGAAACAAAATTGATAAAAAATTGTTTAGAAGAGAACAGAACAGGAGTTAAACTTTATTCTGGGACTAGCTACATTAAGAATTACAAATATCAGACAAGAATAACAAATATCTATTAAGAATAACTAATAAACAAAGAATATTACTGGTCAAGAACATTATTAAATTTGAAACAATATAATATATTGTTTCAACTTTATTAATGTCTTTTAGTCGACAGAATGACTAATTAGAATTTCAGCATTTATTAGTAAAGTAATTTTAGTGACATTTCTAGTTAAGAAATTTATACTTTGATTCACAATTCTATATTTAAACACTGCAATCAACTTACTCACTGTCTGTACGGACATTATAAATTTTCCAATTAGAGATTTCACTAAAATTACTTTACTCAAATACGTTTAAATTTTATTTAGCCATTCTGTCAACTGAAAGGCTACATATATACATTCTTAACATTAAAAATATTCACTACAAAAAAAGAAAAAAAAAATCTCGGTAATATAAATAATTGTCTTGAAAAAAAAAAATCAAATCAAAATAAAAAAAAAAAACAAACTTAAAACTTTGAAATGATCCTAGAATTCACTAGAAAACTATTATTCATTTCAAATCAACAATTTATTCTTAAATTAAAATATCAAGATTAGTGAGTGTCTTTTTAGAATATGAGAAGGTATTGACGGAAAAGGAGATATTTACATAGAGAAATGGATAGACTATGACAGATATTAGATGATAAAGAATTCCAGTAAGCAATGGAGTGGGAAAGAAAGGCATGTTCAAAGGTTTTAGTTCTGTGGGGAGGTATATACAACTCTGAAATGTGACTTATTTATTAATCTAGTTTTCTGAGAGTGGACTAAGGGTTTGAATTGTAGAAGACTGTATAGGGTGCTGGGAGTTAGTATAGGAGGGAAAGAGCTACTTTATCTCGCCATACAGATAAAACACATGAAACTTCCCCGATATACCGAAAATATATCTTAGTTAGTAGTTCATGATTCTTCTAAATCTACCCTCGAGTAAAATTGAGAGTTCACTGCAAACCATGCAGCCATAGTCAAATTGGAAGAAAATGAGTGAGGATAATTGAAGCTTGAGTGTAGGTTGCGGAAGAAGATGGAATAATTTGAAAGAACCTATTGACAATCAAGAAATATTGGCGATAGGAGGTATCTGTGATAGTAACACCCAAGTTTTTAACTGAGGATTAAAGTTATTTAATTAAGGTTATTTAAGATTAAAGTAGGATTGAATTTGCAATAAAAATACTCGTTTTACAGATTTTCAATCACAATATGAATTAAAAAAAATTTTGTTCACATTTTATTGAATAAAAGCTTTTATTGAATATCTAATATAAAACAAAATTTATTTAGAGTATCCATACATGCTATATAGTGAAAGAAATTTACATATAAATGTAATTCTAAAAATATTGAAGGATTTACTAATACAGTACTTAAACACCTTCGGTACTGCAAACATGCCCTGATGTTGACCTACATGTTTGGGTTGAAACGTTTGCCACAAAAAAAAAAAAAAAAAAATGAAAATGTCTGCTTCCTGATTATTTATCTTCTGTGATTTAGCAATACATTTTCAGAAAAGTGATTTAAAAAAAAAAAGGAATGATGATGACAAATCTTCAGACAGTTCACTTATTTTTCTTAGATTTAAAGTTTTTCTTTTATTAAATATATTAGTTTATTTATTTAATATTCAATGTGATTTAGTTGCCAATTAATCTTTTATCAGCTATTCATATTTTGGATTAATCTTTGATTAGATTAATTTTGGAATAAGGATGTTTAATCAACAAAATTATATGTGATTGTTTTCGACATTTACTCTGTAGCTGTACATCAAATCAAAAAACTTTCCAAACTATTAAACTCTTCATTTATTACAAAAAAAAGTAATTATATTCAATAGATTGATCATTTGATATAATTTATTTTTTATTATTATATATATTTTTTAAGACTTTGTTGTAATGATTCTAAAATACTTTATATTTTTTCCCTATCATAAATAGGTTAGATATACGAGCTGTTTTGCCTCTTATGCCTGAAAGCATTGTTTTAATATACTAATATTATTGCTAAAAAGAAAATCCATTATTCTTGAAGAAAATCCGCAGATTGCTATTGGTTTTTTTTATTCGAGTTTAAATATCTTAATAAAAAATAGAATTTTGAATAACAAAATTCTGGAGCTAATTATACATTATACATCTTCTGTAGTTTAACAATCATGTATCTAAATATATATATTTAAGCTACCTTAAATGAATTGTTGGTTTAAATAAAAATAAAAAGTGTAAAAATAATTCACAAAGTAACACATTTGCAACAAAGATACCTGACTTGAAGCTATATCTGTTTCTTGGCTTGCAGTTTGATGAGAAAGTTGACATGAATAGAGAATAAACACTGCAAGGAGGATGAAATTTATTGTTTTCATTCTGGAAAAAAGAAAAAAAAATATTAGTTTCATTTAGAGTTTTTGATCATCTATTTATTTAAATGAATATATTGGAAGCTAATTAATTCTGATTAAAATAATAAATAAATTAGTATATTAATAATTCTTTATCATTTATCAGAAATTTATTGGTATCGTATGATAGTAATGATGGTGAAGAAAAAATTGACTTTAGATAATATGACAAGTTAATATTGCAGTCAGTGACAAATACACACAAAAAAAAAAATAAATAAAAATAAATTTAAAAAATTTAGATATACTAAGAAACTTTTTTTATTTTTAATAAAATTAAACATGTTTTAATTTTATTAAAAATATAAAAAAGTTAAATGTTAAATTAAACATGTTTTAATTTTATTGGTTATTTATGTCACCATAACTGATGAAGTTCTTAATGAGGTCTGGCTTTCATACTTTGTAGTCTGTTTCTTAATCAGGCATTCTTGACAATAAAATATTATTAGTTATAAAAGAAAAATGCTTCCGTCAAATGTAATAAGGACGGATATTGAATGTGAGAGTTCTCGCTAAAGTATACTAATTACAAGCTTGTCATGTAAAAATTTTATTCCTAAAAGCATTATTGTTCCTTTGGTTAGCGTTATTAAGAAAAACAAAAAAAAAATTAAATTGTGTCACTAAAGATATATAAGCCCTTATAATTTTACTATTTATTCTCTATTTAACAACATTTCGAGTAGTTTGCTCATTCTCAAGTTATCTATAAATAGTTCAAAACATTATCTAATGACAATTAAATTTATGATGTAAATTACTACTTAAAAAAAAAAAAATAGCTTCTCGAAATTGAATCCTGAATCTGCTATTGGATACATTTGTGGGATGATCAATATTTTTCAATTCAATTCAATATTTTTCGATTCAATATGCGCTACAGGCGGATCTACTGGGGAGGAGCTTTCGGGCTGAAGCCTCCCTCCAAAATGGGTCTGGCCCACAGACTAATAGATCATATTCAATTACTCTTGCTGTATCGTCGATTGTTTTATCCTTTACCTGTTTGTTAAATTTTTCATTCCTAAAATTCAACGCCGCAAGCAAACTTTGTCTATTTAATCATGTACAAAAAACTCATGAAAACCCATTTGCTTTCCACTTGAATCATATGATAATATGTTCACAAAATCTAAAGCAAGGTGGCCTACAAAAATATTGGGCCATTTGATCTATATAACATCGTTAGTTTATTTTTTTCGGGGTGGAGGTAATGCAAAACGACTGTTTTTGAGAAGAAGAGATCAATAAAATTTCTTCGGAAGAGAGGAGGGTTCATGCGCCATCAATCTTGGGAGGGATGGCACCCTTGAGGAAATCTATGTAACGTAAGGGTTCTCACTGCGGTATACAAGTCTATATTATTTCTTTTTTGAAATTCAACAATTCAGTAGGTATCTACTTCGTACTCTCATTTTTATTTTTCATGTTATCATAACTTTTTTTTTTTTTGTTCTTTTTTGGCTTTAAGAATTGTTAAAGAAAGTCCTATTTTGCCAGTAAAATATTTGAATTGTCATAGTAAGATGAAATTACACTGGATATATATTAATTATTTATAGTTAGATGATCGCTGAATGTACTCTATATGGAACTTGGATATTAGATATTATATTATTAGTTATTAAATATTAGATATTATAGAAACTAGAAAGATTAATAGTTAAAAACTGAGGTGAATTAGATTTACAATTAAATGAGAATAAGAGGCGACTTTTATTAAATGACTGCTTTTATGTCATTCATAAAAGAACTTTATCAAGTCACGGGCGTTATCTTTATTCATCGACCAAAGAAAGTTAGCTCCATCATCCGGAATTTGCGATCCTAAACTAGTTCTTCTTCGCTTCTCGAATCTTTTGCACTTGAAGGCACAGGCGGATCCACGGGGGGGGGGGAGGGGGTTTCGGGCTGAAGCCCCCCCAAAATGGGAAAATATAACCATGTTTAATCGAAAAAAACATTAAAAAATTATCTCTCAAAGTACTATTGTTCATGTAATTACATTTAAAAGGGCTTTAGGAATCACTTAAACACCATTTCATACAGGTAGTTAGTTTCTTTCTTTTTTTCCGAAGTAATTATCGTTATTTTTATGAAAAAAAAAATCTTTCAGGCTGAAGCCCTCCCCAAAATTAAATCCTGGATTCGCTAGTGCTTGAAGGCAATGTGTCTTGGATCCTCCAAGCATTGGCATATTGGGCAGTGACATATTGGGCAGTCCTCTTAGCTACACCCATTAGGTGTAGATATTTATTAGTTCTACCGTGAACTAATATCATAACCTTGCGCTGAAATCCAGCTGGTCATTCCTAAACTTAACATAAATCCTTGTTCATCGGTGCTGGATTCAATCGATTGATGTATTTATGGAGCGCTGAGTTTAGGAACGCGCCCTATATTTAATGAAGGTGGTGTATCTGTAAGCAATATTTGTTTAAAATTACAGTTAATTTTACTTTTAAATCATTTCTTTAGTAGTACAATACTTTCTTTCTGGTCTTTCGCAAAGATTTCAGCGAATGCTTTTTCTGCCTGGTTCTAAAAGTAGATTTCTTAAGCTTTCTAATTGGTTGAGTTTCCTGATGGACTGGGAAATGGACCCTTGATGGGTCCTATCAGGACGCCATCTTCTAGAACAATGCTATCAGCTGTGGAAGAAAGGCTCCGGTCTTCCGATAGTCGCATACACTTTCACTCTTCGTTTGTTGTTGATGCCTCTTCTCATTAGATCGTGTATAATTCTGTTCTGTTATTATTTACTTCCATATTGTATTCTTATAGATTTGCTTACTCGCTATATAATATTGTAGTCTTACAAACAGGGGCGGATCCAGAAGTATTTTTTGGGAGGGAACCCTCAGAATTTGGGAGAAATATTACCATACTAGTAGGCCCGTGCGAAAAATTCGCACAGCATATTGTTATCAAATGCCAAATTAATAAGAAAATAAAATAATGCAACGTATCAAAAGATAAAGAAATCAAATGTTACTTTATCGATAAATATAATCGACAAAGAAAACAAAAATTAATTTAAATCTTCATTTTTGTTTGGAACCAACATGTTCACAAATTTCAGTAAGCTGTACGATCTTTGTTAAAAATAGCCCGATTTCGATGATTTTTTTTTTTTTCCTTTTGTAGGGTATTTAGTAATCTTTTATATGATCATGGGGATAACCAAGGGAAAAGTGTGTAATTTTTTTAGTTATTCACAAATAAAGTTTGTTTTCTTTCATAACTTGTTTGCCTGAATTTTCGGGGTGATTGGACTATTTCGATATATATATTTTGATCAGTCGTATGTTATTTTCTCAATATTACTAATAATATTAAAGGCTATCCGCTCAGTGGTGTATTTATAGATAAGGAGCTACCGCCCATTCCATTTAACGGTAGGATTTAAAGTTATTATAATTTTAAATTCTAGATAAACCTGAACACACAATTTCGGTCAGTCGGTTGTAAACCGTTGCTTTCTATGCGAAAATTAAATTAAAGAGACGAAATCTGACATTTAACGGAAGAACAAAAGAAGAAAGAGTATTCACTTCGACTGACGATGTATGTACTATGTTGCGTTTTGAAAACTGACCCGTTAAGATAATATTTTTAATAATAACTCATTACAAAGAAGATGAAATGCTGAACATTTCCCTCGCTTACAGTATGAAGGTCCGATTTATAATTTCTGAGATATTTTAATCTATATCTTCAGGTTTCCAGAATGATTGCCAACTATCCTTCAGGAAAGTGCGCCTGATATAGAGGGAGTGATAGCAATCGCAAACCATTTGCTCCCTGGATATCTTCTAGAGAAAAAATCGATCACAACTATCACCTATAACAGCCTCAATAAGACTGATGTCGAAAGTCGAAGAAGTCAGACGGCTTAAGGAAAAAAACAAAATAAGGTGCTATGCTTTAGAACAGGCGATAGAAGTGAAAATATTAACAAGGCGAGATTAGTATTATGCAATATAAATTATAAATAATAGCCCATTATAAAAAGGATACAATGCTGTGAACATTTCCCTCGTTTACAGTATGCACGTCCGGTTTTTAGTTTTTGGGATATTTTAATCCATATCTTCAATAAAACTCGTTATCATTTAGATTTCGACACAATTTTTTCTTTTCGCCTCTCTAAAATGGCGTCGCGTTAAGATACAATTTTGAATAATAGCCTATTACAAAGAGGATGAAATGATGAACATTTCCCTCGCTAACAATATGCAGGTCCTATTTTTAGTTTTTGAGATAGTTTAATCCATATGCAAAAAACACTTCAATTAGTCGGCTCCAGCCGACTTTACCCTAGCGTTACACATCGGAGATCTGACGGATCAATGTAATTCACTCTCCACAAAGAAAGTGCGCCTAAAGATGTTTTCACTTCAAAAATCGACAATTATTTTAGTAAACAAATAATGTTCTCTCCTGATTAAACAATGTTAGGTATTATAACATCTTTTTTAATAAAAAACATCATTGGGTCTACTTATAAAAAACAATTGTTCTACTAGAATCCATGGTTTTTAGGGCTTACAAGGGTATTGGGTATTTTGAATTAACTCCATTTTATTAAATAAAACAGCATAGTTGCGCGTAGTTTTTACTTTTGTGTCTCTTACCTTGTGAAGGTGTTTTTACTGCGATAGTTCTCATGGTTGGCTTTGCTTGATTGATTGATTGTCCCTTTAATCCTTATCTTTATTTTAAACGGTAGATTGGTTGATTTAAACAGTGCTATTTACGTTGGTCAATAGATACTACTTTCACAACTTCACAACTACCAATTGTTTGTTTATTTTGTTCGCGCTAGTAAAGTAGAGAATAGTTTTTACGAACACTGAGGAGTTATTCAAAGCTCTAAGGTGGTATGTTTAGTCGTTACTTTAACTTTCCTTCAAAAAGGAATTCTTTAATGAAACTCAATGAAAAAAATCCTCTTTTCAG